AAACACATATGAAATATATTATTAATAGTGTATATTATATATTACATATTTTATTTATATGTAATTTAAATATAATCCTATGTTGTATACTATAGTAATTTTATTGTCTATTATATTATTATATATAATACATATTAATATATATCATGATAATAGCATTAATCCATTTATGGATGCTGCTCTAATAATCTCATCTCCTCTCCAGAGTCCCCTTTCTCAACATGGGATATGGGTTCTGAGCTGAGTTTCCAACATGAGAACCTTGGTGTCCCATCAAGTCCTAGCAACACGTCATCTCAGAAAGAGAAAGGACCTACCATAGAGACATGGAGTCTGCAAGCTCACAGCCGGCTGGCCTGGGCAGAGGGACGCAGGGACACAGCATCCTGCTTCTTGTGGTGCTGGAGGCTCTGTCCTGACTCTGTCTCCTTGGCCTCAGCTGCTCCTGTGTCCCTGCCTCCCATCTGCCTCTGTGGGCTTCTTCATGCTGTATCTTCTTGGCCTCACAGGACCCTTCATATCACAGGACCCAGTCGTCACTGTCCCCTTGCTTTGTTGATGTTACCAAATGACCTTCAGCAGCAGTCCTCCATCTGTCTGCCTGTCCATCTGTCAGTCCATCCATCCATCCATCCATCCATCCTCCATCCATCTGTCATCCGTTCATCCATTCACCCATCCAGCTCGCCTCTCCATACTTAGATCATCCCACTCAAACTTTGGTCCCCACCTGGAGGCCTTCACCATCTGCACCTCTTCCTCTGAACACACCTCAGCACTCCGGTTAAGCATTTTCCCTTCCCGCTGTCCCCATGCCCCGCCCCCATCTTCCACCCAGCACCTCCTCCCTCAAAGCCCTTACCACCACACACTCGAGCCACTTACCTTTCTGTGGACTGAAGACCAAGAACCCATATCCCATTCCCCTTTGTGCTCTCAGAGATAAGCAGACTGCTGGGCATGTATCATGCCAATGATACTGGCATTCCGTGTTCTGAACTGGTCCAAGGACAGTGAGTTCCCTTCTTGTTTTGCACTGTGCAAACTAAATTATTGCTCTGCCACTAAAAAAAAATATCCATATTGCACACTTAAGTTGTCAGGCAAGTGATGACATTGTGGGATGTGAAGAACGGGAAGTTTCTGAGTCTTTTTACTATCTTCAGTGTTTAGGGGTGTGGTGGGGTGTGATGTGTGTGTGTGTGGGGTGTGTGTGTGGGGTGTGTGTGTGTGTGTGTGGTGTGTGTGTGGTGTGGTGTGTGTATGGTGTGGTGTGTGTGTGGGGTGTGTGTGTGTGTGTGGTGTGTGGTGTGTGTGTGTGTGGGGTGTGTGTGTGTGGTGTGTGTGTGTGGGGTGTGTGGTGTGGTGTGTGTGGGGGTGTGTGTGTGTGGTGTGTGTGTGTGTGGGGTGTGTGTGTGTGTGGTGTGTGTGGTGTGTGGGTGTGTGTGTGGTGTGTGTGTGTGGTGTGTGTGTGTGGTGTGTGTGTGGTGTGTGTGTAGTGTGTGTGTGTGGTATGTGTGTGTGGTGTGTGTGTGTGGTGTGTGTGTGTGTGGTGTGTGTGGTGTGTGTGGTGTGTGTGGTGTGTGTGTGGTGTGTGTGGTGTGTGTGTGGTGTGTGTGTGTGTGGTGTGTGTGTGGTGTGTGTGTGTGTGGTGTGTGTGTGTGGTGTGTGTGTGTGGTGTGTGTGTGGTGTGTGTGTGGGGGGTGTGTGTGGGGTGTGTGTGTGTGTGGTGTGTGTGTGTGGTGTGTGTGTGTGGTGTGTGTGTGGTGTGTGTGTGTGGGGTGTGTGTGTGTGTGTGTGTGTGTGTGGTGTGTGTGTGTACACCTCATGTTGATGTTGGGTGTTTTCCTTCATCACTCTCCATAATTTTTTATTTTTAAAAAATGTATTTTATTTGTATTTATGTGTATGCATGCATTTCTACATGGCAGGGAGATCAGATGAGTGCAGTTTCTTGAGGAGGACAGAAGAGGGTGTTGGATCCCCTGGACCTGGAGTTACCCAACATGGGTACTGGGAAGTGGACTTGAGTCCCCTGCAAGAGCTCCTAATTGCTGAGACGTCTCCGCAGCTCTGTGATTTTTATCTGAGGCAGCCTCTCTCTGAACCCAGAGCTTGACAATTACTTACCTGGACTGGACAGCTCGCCCTGGGGATCCTTTGTGGCCACTTCCTAGGTGAGGTTGGGCATGCTATCAAACACAAGGTCGCCATGCCTACCAGGCATTTACATGGGTTCTGGTGGCCATTGTAGTTGGAGAAAGCAATTTATCTCCCCAGCCATCTCTACAACCTCCTCCTTATTGTTTTAAGATGCTGGGGCTTGTGAATTTGGCTAGTTGGCTGACAAGCGAGACCCAGGGATTCTCTTTAAGCCTCCTGTCTATCTCACCAGCCTGCAACAAACTGCCATGCCCATGGGTGCTGGGGATCCAAACCCGGGTCCTCAACCTTGCATGGCATTTCACCAGCCAAGCCCAAGAATTTAGCGGCGTTTTAAATTCTTTCATTTTTATGTTCTGTCTTCTCAGCTATAAGAGTCCAAAGTTAAACCCACAGCAGCTAATAGAACTCAGCATCGTTCTCTTCTTCTGTTGATGCTTGCTTCATTATCTCCCTCACCACCTTCAAGCTGGGCTGGATTCTTCCATTGCCTTCTCAAGGACACACTATGGCTGCCCATAGCTTCAAGTCCATCCGCTTAGAGAACACAGTAGGCTGACACTTCACCCCACTGCAGGGCCAAGAATTCAAGAGCGTACAGGTTGTCCCAAACTGGGTGGGGTTTTCCCATCCTTTTCTTAATCACTGACTGAGATGGAGACACACAGCAACAAACACGGAGCTGCAGGGCTGCTCCCAGGGAGCAGTTCCTGACTCTCAGGTCAAGAAGCTTTAGTAAAGCGTGTCTTCCATTTGGAAAACATCCCAGAGACAGACATGGTGGCTGTCAGGGAACCGCCAGCAGCAAACGTGAACTTGTGTGAGAAAGCATGCCCAGCCTCAACTGAGCATTAAGACAGAGGGTGACACAACGACACAGTTGGATGTGCAAAGCCTCACACAGCTGGCGAGTCTTTAAAAAGGAAATCACTGGAGCTGGAGAGATGGTTCATGGTTAAGAGTGTTTGCCGCTCTTGTAGAGGACTCAGGTTCAATGCCCAGCACCCACTGGCTAATAATTGCTTGTTAACTCCAGTTCCAGGGAATCAGAGCCCTCTTCTGGCCTCTGTGGGAACTGCATGCACACAGTTCACATAATTCATGGAGGTACACACATATAAATAAAAATAAACAAATCTTTTTTAAAAAAGGGAAATTAATACAGGGTATACTCTGGTAATACCATAATTGGATTAAAATATATAAGATTAAAAAAAATAAAAGTGGGCCTGAGGATGTGGCTTAGTTGGTGTAATGCTTTCCTATCATGCACAAAACCCTGGGTTCAAGCCCCAGAGGCTATTAGCACTGGGCGGGGGTAGAGTGGGATGTAGCCAGAAGGATCAGAAGTTCAAGGTCACCCTTGACTACACAGGAAGTTTAAGGCTAGCCCGGCAAATTGTTCTCACAAGAGAACAAATCAAAAGAGCTTCCACAGATAATATCAAGGAACTCTTTCATGGAAATACGGCAAAGAGGAAATTGTAGAAAGCAAGTTTAGAAGGATGAAAGGCTAGAGGTCTGGTTCAGATGGCCACCACTCCACTAGCAGGGATTCTAGACAAACGGGGGAGGGAAAGTTAGCACAGGCACACAGAAACTAATCTAATGAAAAACAAAACAAAACAAAACAGCAATTATTGACCTAGGGGAGGGGGGAATGGGACTGAATGCCCAAGGACACATAATCCCCACATGGGGCTCGCTTCAACAGCTAACAATATTTCATTGTCAAAAAAAAAACCATTATAAACACCGAGCATTGCTGTCATTAAAAATGATAGGAATGGAGTGTACGGAATCTGGGGGTGGGGTGGGGTGAGAAATATTTCTAGGGAGAATTTAAAAACATCTAAATCTCGAACTTCCTTAATAGGAAGTTTGGGATATCCCAGTACCCCAAGAAATAGTGTTGGTTTTAGGATTGGAGAGCCGGGGCTGGAGAGCTAGGGCTAAGAGGAAATAGTACTATACTCCTGCAACATTTGGTTCTCAGAAGAGTCAGGAGTCTGGCGCCCTCTTTTGGCGTCTATGGGCACTTGCACTCATGCGCATCCCCTTACATACCTATCAGCATTGTATACTTCTTACCACACAAGTTTGTGCATGTTTATCGTGGAGTAATAAAGATCCGGAAAGCCAGATAGGCTGAATAGATGTTTATTCAGAGAGAAATAACTTACAAAAGAGACAGATGACCGCCGCAGGTTCCGGTCCCAAGGATGCCTCTGGATGCTCTGTCTCTGTCCATCACGCAAGAGAGCGCGCTGGGGTCCCTACCTCAGACCTACTTCCCCCAGGTCACATCTGCACCTGTCCCCACCCCCCAATGGGCGTGGTCAATGCAACAGGTGTGGACAGAGTGAATATCTCACTACACATGTTTGCTAGAATTACACTTAAAATTTTATTTATTTTTTTCTAAAAGTTGATTCTGGAATGTTCCCCAAGCTTGGTGCTGTTGGGAGATGGTGGAAGTTTTAAGTGGGGACCATGTGGGAGGCCTCCTGGTCATTGTGGGGGCACCTTTGAAGCGGGGAGTGTGGCCCCAGACACTTTTTCTTTCTCTCTCATTCCTGGTCATGAGGTGGAGGGCTGGTACCATAGAGACTCCATCCTAGAGGAAGCGAAGATGCCCTTCTTTACAGAGCGCTGGTTATGAGGAGGCTGGGTGGGGAGTTGGGTGTTTGTAGTGGCGATGAGCTCGTCCCCACTGCAGTGTTAGAGCTGATGCTAGAAAGCGATGTGGGAGCAGACACTCACCAACATCTGTTCTTGCTTGAGGAAGCAGGGTCCTTCAGCATCCCTGATGGCAATATTTGGTTTTCCGCTTGCAGGTCGCAGCTCTGCCCCGACTGTGTGACGTGCTGCGCGTGTTGCAGGGGGAGCGAGCTCAGTGTCTGCAGGAACTCTCCAAAGAGAAGGAAGATCTGGGCCCAGAGACAGTAACAGGTAGGAGGCCTCCCTTGGCTCGGTGCACTCTGCAGGGGGCTCCTGTCCAGTCATCTGGAGCAGGGGACTTATCCTCAGGACCAGGAGGGCTGTCCAGGATGGGTCCAGGTTCTATATAGTCTCCATCAGCTGTTGGATCCAGTACACGGGGACTCGGAAGCTTCATGTACCCTTTCTCTGGGGACAGCGAATGCTTCCTCACCATCTGCTTCTGTACACGCAGTTTATCAAGGAGTTTTTTGTTTGTTTGTTTGTTTTTTATAAATCCATGAGTGTGTACATGTATGGGGTGAATGGATGATGATGATGAAGATGATGATGATGGTGTGTGTGTGTGTGTGTGTGTGTGTGTGTGTGTGTGTGTGTGTAGGGACACACATGCCAGGGCATAGGTGTAGAAGTCAGAGGAAAACCGGTCCTTGTTTAAGATCTCAACAGTGCTGCCCATGCCAGATGCCAGGCTAGCTGGCTGTCTGGAGAGTGTCCAGGCACTTTTCTGTTCCTTCCTCCCACAGGGACTCCGGGATTACAGGTGTGTAATTTTACACCTGGCTTTATGTAGGTTCTGGGGCTCATGTTTGTGTAACAAGCATTTTATTTGTTGAGCCACCTCCCCAACCTGAAGTGAAGATTTGGCAGGAAGTGCTTCATGGGGGTCACTATTCTCTCATTCACTCTGTGGGAGGCACCGTGGGAGGGGCGGGATGGAGGGGCGGGATGGAGGGGCGGGATGGAGGGGCGGGATGGAGGGGCGGGATGGAGGGGCGGGATGGAGGGGCGGGATGGAGGGGCGGGATGGAGGGGCGGGATGGAGGGGCGGGATGGAGGGGCGGGATGGAGGGGCGGGATGGAGGGGCGGGATGGAGGGGCGGGATGGAGGGGCGGGATGGAGGGGCGGGATGGAGGGGCAGGATGGTGTCAGGATGGCTGGAGCAGGGGGAAAAGAACACATCTGTTGCTGATGGTGCACACCCAGACTCTGCCTGAGAGCACCATGCCGAGAGGATTGCATGCAGTCCCAGATGGTGACACACACTTGCAATCCCAGTGCCGGCCTGGGGGGACATGTACCAACAGGTTCCTGGGGCTCACTGGACAGCCAGAGTAGCCATGTAGGCGAGTTCCAGACCAATGAGAGATTCGCTTAACAAACAGGATGATGTGTCCTGAGGTTGTCTTCTTACATCCACATGCACCCCCCCCACATATACACACAAATACACAGAAACATACACACATATGTGCACACATACACATACACACATGCCATATGAATACACAGGAACACACACACATGAATACACTGGAACATATGTGCACACACAGGAACACACAGAAACACACATGAACACACATGCACACACGCACATCAATACACAGGAACACACAGATCCACATGACTAGATAGGAATATACACATAAACACACATGCACACTCCGCACAAATACACAGGAACACACACACAGGAATACACGGGAATACACAGGAACACACACACACATACACACACACACATGTTGATGGCTGTTCTTGGAACCAGGCAGGTGTCATATGCACTGAGCCTGATGCAAGACCCTGGAGGGGCTGAGATGTGCCCCTCATCCTGCCCTGCCACCTCAGTGGGTCCCTAAGGAGCTCAGCCCTCAGTTCCTTCTAAGGTTCCATCCTGGCTCATGCACTTGGGGGTGGTCAGGGGACTCTGCTGGGGGCCTGGGGTTAATGGTTAAGCTGTTGATTCTCTTGGGTAGAGGTTAATGTTTGAAAGCTAGACAAATTACAGGAAATGCCATTCATGGAGCATCACCAAGCCTGGAATACTTACCACAAATAAAAAATTAACTCTCCAGCTCTTTTGAGTTAGGTGACCAAGTCCACTCTGTGGGAATGTCTCGGGGTCATGCCCCTGGTCACCACTCTCCTGGGATGTTTATTAGTTGGCTTACAGAGGCCATCACCCTCTCAGAGTGGGCTGGGGAAAGTTGCCAGCTCTCCCTACAAGAAGAGTATTCCAGAAGGATAGTGCGGTGGCCAGTTATTTGTGGATTCTGTGGTCATAACAAACATGGTATCCATCCAGCTTTGACACATAGGGCCCGGGTGACCTCCAGCAAAACTCTGCACCTCTCTGGACCTTGGTGCCCTGCATTTTCCTTCAAGTGGGGCATGCTAGCCAATTTCTTCCTGTCTCTACCAGGAGGGTGATCTCCCCCAGCCTGAGTGGGAAGGCATGGGACTTTTGTAGTTTTGTGCTTTTCTATCGAGATGAAATTCGTATTAAATCAACCCCTCGGAGGTTCTCAGTCCCCTGCCATTGGTCATACTATACACCCACTTGTATCAAGTTCTAAAACACTCCCCTCAGACTCCAGAGGAACTGTGGGCCCCCTGCTGACCTCCATCACCAGGTGCAGGGCCCCAGAGGAGGGCTGTTCCAACTCCTATGCCATATGCTTCAGAAATAGCCCAGGTTATTATCGGGCCATCTGTGCCGATTTATAAATAACTCAGGGACTGAAGGGTGGCCCTTGTGGGTCACTGCAGGGAAAAGTAAAAGTTGGCAGAGGGCTGGCTCTCTGTGATCCTGCTGGCTGGGCCCTGAAGATCCCCAAGGTCCCATTCTGTCTTCCAGCCCAGCCTCCTCCCTTTCCCCAGTCCGGCTTCCTTCTAGACCTGCCTCTAGGGCCATCTCTAGGCAGGACACAGGCACACATAGTGATGTGTGTGTGCCTTGGGCCTGGAGCAGACTCAGGGGCTTCCAAGTCTAGGGGCGCCTATACCCTCCACTGAATGGCAAAAGACCATTGTCTCTTCACTGTGGATTTTATCTTAGCTCCGTTCTCCTGGAGTAGCTGACTCAGACGCCTTGATATTTACTCAAAAACACTTCAGACTTTGGTCTGTGTGGGTAGGAGCTAACAGATCCCCGTCCCTGGCCACAGGGCCCTTTTGTGCATGGCTGGGGAAGTGCGTTCTGCAAGACCGTCTGTGGTTTCACGTCCATAACCATTCTCCTCGGAGCCATTGATCACACCAATTGTATGACTTGTGTCTTTTTCTTCTTCTCCTCCCTCCCCCCATTCCTCTCTTCCCTTCCTTTTTTATTCCCCCCTCCTTCCCTCCCTCTTCCTACCCTCTCTTTCCTTCCTTATTCTAGACAGGGTCTCATTGCAGCATGGCCTGCCCTCAAACTCAGGTAGTCAAAGACGACCTTGAACTTCTGGTCCTCCTGCCTCCACTCCCGAGTGCTGAAATCACAGGCCGGCACCATTATGTTTGGTTTGCATGGTGCTGAGGCTGGGACTCAGGGCTGTGTGCTTGCTAGGCAAGCACCTCCCCCCACGGAGCTAGAACACCCTGCACACCCTATTTTCATCTTCTGAAGATATGGTAAACCTCTAAAAGCCACAAAACCAGCAATATAAAAAATTGTTCAGACAAGTACAACCCAAAAACATGGACACCCCATGACAACTGGGCTGTTGGAATAGTCACTTCCAGAATGTCTGCGATGCATAGCTCAGGCCTGGCATGGTTCCACCCCAGCCCAGGGCCTGGCTGATGTGAAGAGTATCTCTGAGCCAGCTGGCAGGAGCTCCTACCTACCCTAGGCACTCTTACCAGGCCTTAGCCAGTTCTAGGTTGGCTGTTCTATGGCCCTGCCCAACATGACCTCCAGAAAGCTCTCAGACATTCTGACACCTCATTCTGTCTGGCCAGGCAGGCAAGGTCATTTACCACATGGACTGGAGCCTTTGGCCAGTGCCTGGTGGCTTGGCCAGTCCCAGCCATCCCTGAGTCCCTCTTTTCAGGTGACTAATAGACTCTGGAATCAGTCACCTGCCTCTAATACTGGAGAAGCCACTGAGTAGACAGGGAGGCTGCATCCTGGAGCCACATGGAGAGATGTGCTTAAGGAAGGGGACACAGGTCCCTCTGGCCTCCTGGGACTCCAGACACTGGAAATAGAGAGTAGCATCTTTGGGAAAGGATGCAGCCAGGATGAAACTACACCTGTAATGTTACCTTTCTCATTGCCGTGACAAAAGCCGCTAAAGAAAGGAAGGATGAGGGCTGGAGAGATGGCTCAGCGGTTAAGAGCACACTGACTGCTCTTCCAGAGGTCATGAGTTCAATTCCCAGCAACTACATAGTGGCTCACAACCATCTGTAATGAAATCTGATACCCTCTTCTGTCATGCAGACATACGTATAGGCAGAACACTGTATAACACGATAAATAAAATCTTTAAAAACATAGTTTTGGGGTACAGTCCCTCATGGTGGGAAAGCATGGCAAGCTTCTACTAACTCAACTTAGAAACTCCCTGTCAGACGTTCCCAGAAGTTTATCTCCTATGTGATTCTAGATCCTGTCAAGTTGACAGTGAATGTCGACTCCTGGGAGGTCCTTCTCAGACTGGGAGAGAACATTCTCAACTGGCCGACGGGAGATCAATCAGCCTCTGGGATGCTAGGGAAGAAAGACATTCTGTAGCAATTCCAAAACAGAAATGTGCAGGATTTTCCACCTGCCAGGCTCACTGTGAGATTCTGGGTGAAGATTCAGAACCATTCAAAGTTTGCTCACCTCCTGTGTTCCTTGAAGGACCAACCCCCTAGTCCTTGCTCTTGTAGAACATTTGCTAGCCCACAGGACCCTATCTGCATAGTTTTCTTGTTGCTCTGACAAAACACCTTACATAAACAACCCAATAGAGGAGCGATTTATTTTTAGTCATGATTTCTGGGAGTTCAGTCTGCCCTACTGAGTTTAGGCCTGTGGTGAGGCAGAAGGTCATGGGGGTAAGAACGTGTTCAGAAAGATACTGTTCACCTCATGGTGGTCAGGAGGCAGAGCATAAGAAAGGGACTGGGGGCTTGGCAAAACCTTCACAGACTGCCTCCTAGTGATCTACTTCCTTTAATTAGGCTCCACTCATAAAGTTTCCAGAACCTCCTAGAACAGCGCCACCTGCTGGGGACCAACTGATTAGCATATGAGCCAATAGGGAACATTTCTATTTATATCAAGACTGTCAGGTCCTGGATGTGGCTCGGTTGACAGCCTAACATGCATGGATCCCTGGGCTTCACCCCAGCCATTTGTAAACCGGAAGCAGCATGACACTTGTGATGATTAGTTTTAGCTGTTGACTGAAGCTAAACTTACTGGAGAAGAGAGCCTCAACAAGGTAATCTACATTGGGTTGGTCTGTGGGTGATAGTCTTAATTGAGCAAATAGGTGTGGGAAGGCCCAGCTCACTGTGGGTAGCACCACTCCCTAGGCAGGGGTCCCAAACTGTATAAGAGTGGAGAAATTGAGCTGAGAACAGGCAAGAAAGGAAGCAAGCATGTACCCATTCATTTCTCTCTGCTCTTGATGAAGGTGTGATGTGCCACTCTGATTTAACCCAAAAGTATAGTAAACCCTTCCTCCCCTAAGTTACTTTTGGTTAAAATGCTGTATCATAGCAACAGGGATGAAATGGGACAGTGGACCAATCTGTAATCTCAGGACTCAGGAGATGGGGCATCAGGAATTCAAAGCCCACCTGAGCTACATAGCCAGTTCAAGGTTGTTGTGGGATACTTGAGACCCAGAGAGATAGAGGGCGAAAGAGAGGGTAACAGGGGGAGGCAATGTTCAAACATCAGTCCAAACTTGCTATGTGTCCTTATGACATCATCATCTCCTCTCAATGCAGTCTCCATGGTAACCTGCCCCTTACTTACTTACATCAGAAGCAGCTGGAAGCATGTCCAGTACACAGTTGTCTGGGTTTTGGCCTACAGGATTTTAATTCCGCCATTAGGAAGTCAGGCCCAGAAACCTGCATCTTATAAATTCCCCAGAGATGCAGCTCTGTGTGCCTCAGGACTTTGGAGAATCTGCTTAGTCTTTTCATTTCCCTGATATTCAGGTCCAGAGTACCCCAGCTTCCAGAACACAGCGACAGAGGCAGTCACTGACTTAGCTTCCAAACACTGTTATCCACCAAACAGAGGGTCCCCCAAGAGCAAAAGCCTAGCTGGTGGCCCACAGCTGGAATCCTGGGCACCCTGTGGGCCTGGCATAGGGAAGGTACTCAACATCTGGTCAATGAACCAGTGGACAGAGCGATGCTGGCCCAATGCTGGCACAGTCCCCTCTGCAAATAGAGTTGTCCTTGACATCTCTGGAACTTCTCAGTTCCATGAAACAGAAGCCATGAAGTAGGTCGAGGGGAGGTGGTTTACTGAGTCGACACAGTCAGGAAACACAGGGGCAGGGTGTGTCTGCCTAGCTACCCATTTGGTGCCATTTTATAGTCTCCAACCACCTGACCTGTCTTGAGGCATTGGTTAACCCCAGGCAGGCTCAGGGGCCAGTATGAAGGGGCAAGTGTGTGTGTGTGTGTGTGTGTGTGTGTGTGTGTGAGAGAGAGAGAGAGAGAGAGAGAGAGAGAGAGAGAGAGAGAACACAAGGGATGAGCCTGGCCAGGATGAATGGGGTCAGCAGAGTATACGGAGATCTGGGGAGATAAGAAGGTAAGTATGGTGATATCTTGCTTGTACAAATAAAACTTGTCTGAAGGTCAGAGAATGGAGCTTGCCACTAGCTAACCATAGAACTCTGGAGTTCTGTACAGACAGGAAATGAGGTAGCGATACATAGATTAATAGAAACGGATTAGTGATTAAGAGAGAGTTAGCTAATAAGAAGTCTAAGCCATCGGCCAAACAGTTTATAATTAATATGAGCCTCTGCGTATTTATTTGGGACTAGACAGCTGTGGGATTGGGCAGGACAGAAACTTCCGTCTACAGGTAAGTCATATGTGGCATATTACTGCCCTGTTCCACCAGGGAGAGGCTTTGGAGGTGGGGTGAAGGACAGGGCAGGCTACATCCCAGGATGAGGATGGTGGGAGGGGAGTCTAGAAGAGAGTGGCCCTAGGAAGCCCCTTACTTGGGAGATATTGGTTTTGTTTTGTTTCTTTGAGATAGAATTGTATACAGGCTCAATCTGACTATGTAGTGGAGAATGACCTTGAACCTTTGATACTCCTGCCTCCTCCCTACTGGGCTTATAATGGTATGCTACCACACCTGGCTTATGTGGTGCTGAGAACCAAACCCAGGGCTCTTGTGCATGCTAGGCAAGTGCTCTGGCAACTGAGCCACACCTCAGCCCTGGTGGTAGAAATTGAGTAGGAAATGCTTGAATGTTAATCACCTGGCCTCCGGTTGGTGGTGCTATTTTGAAAGATTCTAGAAACTAGAAAGAGCCCAGTGCATGCAAGACCCTGGTTTCCATCCATGCCTCAACCCTGGAAGGGCGGAGTTCAAGGAGTCAGTGCGTAATGGGGACTGGGCTTAAAAAGGGTGAGGGTGGGCAGCCTTGGTCCATGCTCCGTCCTGATGCACTGTGCTCTCCTCTGCAGGCTGTGAGGGGCTGTGGGACAACATGAGCTGCTGGCCCTCCTCGGCTCCGGCACAGACGGTGGAAGTACAATGTCCGAAGTTCCTCCAGATGCTCACGGGAAGAAATGGTAACCATTCAGCACCAAGGGCCCTGACCAGAGGTGGAAATGACTCCTGGGTGATAAGTCAGGTGCCAGGGATCTCTGAGAACAAGCAGTGGGTGAAATAAGAGGAAATCTCTGCAGACTGGAGTCCTTGCCTGCGTGCGAGAGAGAGAGAGCACAACTCTCAGGGTCCCAGGAAGGAACCAGGGGACAATGTCGTTAGGGAGGTATGGAGAAGACAGACCAGTGCGATGGCTCAGCATGCTAACGGTGCTTGCTGCCACGTCTGGTGAGCTGAGTGTGGTCCCCGTGACCCACACACTGGAAGAAGACAATTGACTCCCACAAGCTGTTCTCTGACCTCCACACAGGTGTCCAAAAAAAGTAATGTAATTTAAAAAAAAAAAAAGGAGGAGGAAGAGGAGGAGGAGGCAGCAGCTAAGACATGCCTCGTGACCCCAGTTTAGGAACCATCTTCCCTTCCACGGTTCTGTTCCCTCAGAGACCCGCCATCTTGCTTCAGATACCCCACAGTACCAGCCTCTGAAGGAGACTGCCTCTAGAACACTCGCTTTTTGTGCCGGTTACCCTGGGCCTTGCCGATGACTGGAGGTGCCCCGGGTGCCCCTGGGTGCCCTGGCTTCCTAGGGAATGCCTTAGCTGAGTGCATCTGCTTCTGTCTGTGATCGCTGCAGGCACTCACTCTGATGCCCAGATTTTATGGGTGCTGGGACCCAAACCTGGGTGCTCACGCTTGCATGGCAAGCCTTTACCCACGCAGCCTCTCCCCAGCCCTTGGAGCCAACTTTAAATGTCTTCCTCTGTTCCTTCTCTCACCCTTCTCTGGCGCCCTCATATTTTCTTCGCCCGCCCTCAAAGCTCCACCCTAGCCCCTTTTCCCATCATGCTCACACCTTCAATCTTACCAATGGTCTTTCCTCCTGGCAGGACCCCTCATGTCAGACACTTGGGTCCATGAGGCTCAGGACTCAGGCCCCTCATACATCCACGGTCGGCTTGGAGCAATGTGCTGGTCCTAACACCCCAGGTACCATCCGTGGCTGGCCAGGTTCCTGTTGAAAAGGACTTTAGCTCTCCTCTCTACCGGCCATCCCCTCAAAGCCTTCTCAGAGCCGGTACACCTATCCTTCTGTAGCATGCCTAGGAAGAGCCACTGCCTGTGGCCTGCTTGAACTCACTAACTAGAAGACCTCTGACTTGTTTAGAGATTCACTGCCCAGACCAGTTCCTTCTACTGCAGTTTCACCTACCTACCACATGGTGGCACTGTGGGGCCGCAATGCTGGCCCTGCTCCTGGGCTGCTGGGAGGATTGGCTCACTGTGTCATACCTCAGCTAGCTGGCTGACCCAAGGGCATAGGTCAGGGCCTGTCTGGGCCTGCTAGTCACCAAGAACTTTTCCCTCCCATAGCTCTATCTTGGATCTGACTGGACATTTGCCCTCTGGCCCTCCAGAGAGCAGGGCTCCCCACCGTGTGTCCCCAGCCCCAGAGAGCTGTGCTCGTGGACACTAGTAGAGTTTAAGACGGCTTCCTTTTGTACAAGGAAAATATGTTCTAGAGTTAATTCCAAGTAGTTCTTAGCCACAGCATTCTCCATACTGGCCCAGACAGGCATCTGAGCGGCTGGAAAAACTGTGGGCCTCTTGCTGCCCCAGATAGTTCTCAGGCCAGGCCTGGAATCTTCCTTCAAGGAGACATTCCTTCGATTCTTAAAACAGCACTGGCATTTTCAAAGTTCCTTGTTTAGAGTGTATTTATTGGGACACGATCCTGCAGGCCTGTAACCCCAGCCTCCTCTGAGACTGTAGCAGGATGACCCCAAGTCCGAGGCCTTTATGAGCAACCCAGTGAGACTCTGTCTCAAAACAAAGAATAAAGAAGGGAGGGGGGTGGGGAGGGGAGTGGGGTGGCTCCATTGGCAAAGTGCTTGCTGCATAAACAGAAGGACCTGATCCCCACCATCCAGGGGAAAGCTGGGCACAGAGGTGCACACACCTGTAACCCCAGTACTGGGGAGGCAGAGGCAGAGGCAGAGGCAGAGGCAGAGGCAGAGGCAGTGAGATCTGGAGTTTGCTGACCAATCAGGTTAGAATAGTACATGAGCTTCAGTGAGAAACCTTGTCTCAAAAAAAAAAAAAAAAATTGGAGAAGTGTGGTCATGGAAAATACTTGATGTCAACATCTGACCTCCCTGTACACACACACACACACACACACACACACACACACACACACACACACGAATGTATACACACAAATCATGTACATGCACACACAAGCATATATACACATATATGCATGTACACATACATAAAAGCATGTACACACACACAGTTAAAGAGGCTTAGAGCTATATTTTAGTGAGATGGAGGTTGGGGAGAGGGAGACAGGGAGAGAGAGAGAGAGAGAGAGAGAGAGAGAGAGAGAGAGAGAGAGAGAGAGAGAACTGTGAGAGCCTAGGGATTCGTTGTAACAGGAACCAAGTCTCATCGTGCACGCGGATGTTTCGGGACCCACTATTCTGTCAGCAGAACCGGGATGGGAGTGAGAAGGGGGATTCGTGCATGATGTGAAGAGCCCTACAGACCCAACCCTCATTCTCCATTTACTGAGATAATGATGGGCGCAAGCTATGCCACACCGCATGCCTCAGTTTGCCCCCCTATAAAATGATGGCAACGCTTTGGTGTTACCGCAGATTTTACTAAAACGATTTCACTGCCCGATCCCCACTACTCGTCTGCACTTGTCACCCTCAGGGTCTCTGTTCAGGAACTGCACACAGGATGGCTGGTCAGAAACTTTCCCCAGGCCTGACCTGGCCTGTGGGGTCAACATGAATGACTCCTCTAATGAGAAACGGGTAAGCCTGTCGTGTTATACCACCGTGCCCCGAGATGGGTGAATGCAGGGTGAGGTCCCAGAGGGGACCTGGGGGCCAGGATTGTAAGCAATAGCATCACAACGATGCTCTTAGCGTGTGGAGGCTGGGGCTGGGGCTTTGTGCACACTGGACCACCAGCAGTCAACCAGCAAGCCACATCCCTGCAGAAGCTCAGTTCTTTGTGTTAAACCTTCCGCTGGCTGATGATGACATGTCCAGCTTGGCTCTCCCTCCCTCCCTCCCTCCCTTCCTCCCTCCCTCCCTCCCTTCCTCCCTTCCTCCCTCCCTTCCTCCCTCCCTCCCTCCCTCCCTCCCTTCTTCCCTCCCTGTTTCCCTCCCTCTCTCCCTTCTTCCCTCCCTGTTTCCCTCCCTCTCTCCCTCCCTTCCTCTCTCTTCCTCCCTCCCTCCCTCCCTCCCTCTCTCCCTCCCTTCCTCTCTCTTCCTCCCTCCCTCCCTCTCTGTCTCTCCCCCTCCCTCCCTCCCTCCCTCCCTCCCTCCCATCCTTCCTCCCTCCCTCCCTCTCTCCTCTCTCTCTATTTTCTAATCCCCTTCCTGGGCATGTGTCACTAGAGTATTGACAAATATCAGTAATGGACTTAGACCGGGTACAGATGCCCCTTAAGCGTCTACAATGTCTAGGGCACCTACTTAGAGGCCTTGGGCCATGACCAGCCTTTGCAAATGAAATTTTGTTGGGACACAGCCAAGTCTGTTAGCACAGCAAGGGAGCTTCTGTGTGACAGGGACAGAGAGCTGGGTAGTTTCTAGAGACTGTGTGGCACTTTGAGCCTAGAATATTTGCTGTCTGTCTCTTAATAGGAAACATTCTCTGTCAGCTGGGCAGAGGGGACAGCAAACAGGTGGCCCTGCCAGGCTCCAAGGCAGAGACACTAAGTTTGACCCGGGACAGGGAACAGGAATGTTCTCGGACTCTGAGCCCTCGAGGGGCGATGCACAGCTGCAGATGTCAAACGCTGAGGGAGCAAGGGTCATGCCGAGGTTCAGATCTCACTGACATGAAATCGGGGCTGAAGGTCACTTGGCACCGAACAGGACAAATTATGCTGCTGGGACTCTTCACGCTGTCAACCTGTGCCTTCTTGGGCTCCATGAACGGGTGGAGGTATCACTAGACCACCCTGCCACCCTCAGTGCTGTGGGCCTCCCTGGGCCAAGTGTCAAGCTGAAGGAAAGAACAGGGTGTAGTGGTTAAGAGCTGGGATTGCACACCAATGGGTGATCCAAGAACTATGAAAGCCTCACAGATCTCTTTCTTGATTTGCTTTTTTTTTTTTTTTTTAAAGCAGCCCCATATAGCCCAGGCTGGCCCAGAAAGACCTAGAACTCCTGCTCCTCCTGTCTCCTTCTCCAAAGTACTAGAATTACAGGCACACTACACCATGCCCATGTCCGTGGTGCTAAGACTCAAACACAGAGCTTTTAACCTGCTAGGCAAGCATTCTATCAACTCTATCATCTTAGGGAGGGGCGCTCCACCCCTACTGAACCAACCATTCTGTTTCCCCTCCCTAGCCCCGCAAACCACCCCCAGTCACAAGCATTCCACTTTATTTTATTAGGAAGGGTCTCATGTCGCCCAGGCTGGCTTCAGACTCTGTGTAGCTGAGGCGATAGTGAACATCTGGTCTCCTGCCTCTGCCTCCCACGTGTTGGAATGACAGGTGTGTGCCACCATGCCCAGTTTGTGTGGCTGGCGCTGAGCCACATCCCAACCCTACACCATTCTAAAACAGCTCATCTTCGCCCCTGAGGGGTGGCCTTGGCTGAAGGAGGGAGGCTCTACCCAACACAGCTGCCATCCCGTTGAGGGTCATCTGACGCCAAAATGTCCTTGCTGATTCTGAGTTGAAATCTACATGCTTTCTCGAAGCTTCCTCCGCTGAACCTTACACAAGGAGTCTTGTCTTTAATTTTGTCAGTCATTCTGATGTTTCCCCCTTAATTTGTTATTACTCTCCCACCCTACACACTTGGCTTCTCCTGTGCATTTCGGATGATGCAACTGATCACCTTCTTCCGAAAGTACCCAGAGTCATTAAGGTGCCTCCTAAAATAATACACTTGCACTCATGACAACCAAGCGGCATGGCATTCTACGGGGCGAAAGAGAAAATAAGCCTATTTTTATTTTGGGAGGCTAGCTCATACCCCGGAGTTCCTGCCATCTCGCCCTGCTGACTCATGCTGAGGAGTGACTAGGGCTGGGAAAGTGTCACATGCCCGGCATTGGAGACACAACCCGTCTGTTAGCTTCTTCCTGTTGTCAGCAAGGGAGAAAATATGATTCCCAAAGAGTCTGAAGCTCAGAGAAGTTAAGTAGTTTGCTCAGGGTTGCGCAGTTGGTGAGTAACAGACGGGCCTTCTTGGGTTTGGAAGCTTGTCTTATTTCTCTCCGGTCTACTGTGTGACACTGTGGACAGAGTGCGGACCATTCCAACCCCAAAGCCTTTGTTGTGTGGTCAGCAAGGCTTCCCCTGTACGGTTCTTGTGTCTTAAAACCGTAATTCCCCTCAGCAACTGTAGAAAATGCCATGGTAGAAAAAGATGAACAGAAACTACCAGTCAATTCAGAACCACGAAACCAAGGCCTGTTACCTGCTGACACTTGACGAGTCTCCTTACCATGGGACACAGCTTCTTACCATGTGATGTGTCTCCTTACCATGTGACACATCGCTCTACCAGTTGATGCATCTCCTTACAATATTTTTTAAGACATTTTTATTATGGGGAAGGGGGTTGGCATCTGCGTACAGCTCAGGAAGCCAGAGGACAACTTGCTATAATCAGTTCCCTGCTATTATATGGAGTCTAAGGACTGGATTCCCACCACCACATTTGTCTGCAAGTGTCTTTACTTGAGCAACCCTTCCAGGCCACCACAAGCTTGTTTTCAATGAAGATAAGAAATTGAACCCCACAGATTAGCTGATATCCTTTTTTTTTTGTTTGTTTTGTTTTGTTTTGTTTTCTATGACAAAATCTTGTAAACCATAGGCTAGCCTCAAACTCACTATCTTACATGGCCCCATAGATTGTTTGGTTTTTCAAGACAGGGTTTCTCTGTATTGCTTTGGAGCCTGTCCTGGAACTCTGTAGACCAGGCTGGTCTCAACTCACAAAGATTCACCTGCCTCTGCCTCCCGAGTGCTGGGATTAAAGGTATGCGCCACAACCGCCTGGCATCCAGGATTCCTTTCTACTTCCATATTTTTGCATTAGGGTGTAGTGGCTGGTCTGTCTGGTCACCCACTGGCAGTGTAGGGTGTAGGTCAGGGTGATGATGGTCCTCTGATTCTTCCTCGTCTGGGTTGCACAGTAAAGTGCTTATTTTTGTCATTTAGAGATACTTTATTTTTACTCCTGTGTATTGTATGTATATGTGCATATGTGTGAACGCCCTTGGAGGTCAGATGAGTGTGTCTGACTGATCTCCAGCAGCTGGAGTTAGTTACAGGTGATTGTGAGCTGCTTGACATAGATTTGGAAACCAAATGTGGGCCTTCTGAAGAGAAGCTAGCTCTCTCGCATGCTGGCATGCTGAGCCGTTGCTCCAGGGTGTCTTAATTTAAAGGCACCAACACACCTCACTGTTTTAATTGAGCTAAATAGTGAAGGGCGCAGAAAGAGGAGAAAACAGCAATGGATGCGGGTGAGTGAGGGACAATGGGAAGCATAGCTTTATTTGAAAATGGCAGGGTGCCGTACACACTCAACAACTTTTCTACTTTCAGGCAGCCTTCATCTAGAAGACTGATTTATTTTAGATGGCTCTAGAAAGAAAAAGAGAAAAGACAAATGGGTGGAATACAAAAGTCAGCTACTTTGAGTGCTACTTGAAAAGATTCTGAGCCAGGTGTGGTGGCACACACCTTTAATTCCAGCAGTAGGAGAGCAGAGACAGATAGATCTCTGAGTTTGAGGCCAGCCTGGTCTACAGAATGAGTCCGCTACAGCCAGGGCTACACAGAGAAACCTGGCTTGACGGATATCACACACCTTTAATGACTGCATTTAGAAGGTACAGGCAGGAGGATAGAAGTTCAAGGTCATCTTCAGTTATGGATTCAAGGCCAGCCTGAATATATGAGATGCTTTCTCAAAACAAAACAAGGGCTGGAGGCGTGGCTAAGTTGGAAGAGTGCTCACCTAGCATGCATAGAGCCCTGTGTTTGGTTCCCAGCACATATAAACTAGGCATGAAAGCACACACCTGTAATCCCAGCACTTGGGAAGTAGAGGCAGGAGGATTCAGAGTTCAAGGACATTCATGGCCACTTAGGAAGTTCAAGGCCAGCCTGAGAAACATGAAACCGTGTGTGTGTGTGTGTGTGTGTGTGTGTGTGTGTGTCTGTGTGTGTGTCTGTGTGTTTCTGTGTGTGTGTCTCTGTGTGTGTGTATTATCTTTGTATTATTGTATGACAAATGATTTCCTCCAAAAGTAGTGAGCAGCTTTCTCTGGAAGTATTCAAGTAAAGTCTTGCATTCACAATGCTGGTAAAGGGACCTACCCACAGGCATTGGGATAGCAGCCAAGGTTGTCGGGACCAATGCTGCCTCAAGCTGGTGCTCTGGGACACAGAAGGGCCAGCTACAGCCGGATGGCAGGCAGGGCTGACCTGTGCCTTTCTCTGCAGCATGCATACCTGCTGAAGCTCAAGGTCATGTACACTGTGGGCTACAGTTCCTCCTTGGCCACGCTCCTGGTTGCCCTCAGCATCCTGGGCTCTTTCCGGTGAGAACAGGTCAAGTGATGCTAATGACTCGGGATGGAAAAAGGGAGGTCTGGGTGGGCTGCCTGGCCACCTTGTGAAGTTCAGGACAGCTATAAATGTGACAATGTGCTGTTACAATGTCATGCAAGAATGAATGTGTGTAAACACATGTATGCCCTCCAATCCAGGGCTGTAGCCCTGGATTTAATGTGTGTTGCAAGACAATTATTGGTCCAGTGCAGTCTAGAGAAGCTAAAAGGTTGGACACCCCCTATTTACGCTTCCTCAAGTGTGATTCAGTTGGTAGAATGCCTGGCTAGCAAGCTTAAGGCCCTGGGTTCAGTCCCCCGCTCTACATAAACTGGCCACTGTGACACATGCTTGTGTCATAGCCAGAATAGGCTGCTTAAGATCCTATCTCAAAATGAAACAATGGTAGGGAGGACCAGCAACAAACTTCCAGTCTCTAGAACACAGGGGGAAATTTCAGGAGCTGGAGGTGGTGGTTGGTCAGGGCCAAAGACATGTGGCTGTTACAAAACCAGTGATTGCGTTACTCTGGTCTGGTCTGGTCTGGTCTGTTTTATTCTGAGTGGTGGTATCGCCATGTAGTCCCTACTAGACTGAGAACTTGAGATGATCTTTCTGCCTCCACCGCCCAAGAGCTAGAATTACAGGCACACACCACTATGCTACGCTCTTTACTTTTTGTAACTTCAATGCAGTACAGGATGCACCGGGCACCTGGGGCGCTATGCCCTTGTGCAGGTCCATTAATAGTGAGAGATGGGACTCAGGGCTGTGGTAGGGCTTTGATTTCCCCGTGCAAGGGGAAGGGCATGTGCAGGTGGATCTGTGAGAGCACCAGCCCCTCTCTCCATGGCCTTTAGCCCCACATTCTCTCCGACAGGAGGCTGCACTGCGCCCGCAACTACATCCACATGCACCTGTTCGTGTCCTTCATCCTGCGCGCCCTGTCCAACTTCATCAAGGATGCTGTGCTCTTCCCCTCAGATGACGTCACCTACTGTGATGCCCATAGGGTAACACGCCTAAGTGTCCTAGACTGACCTTGGGATGACCAAGCCCCATAGCTCATTGTCCTCCTCGCAAGCATCCGTTAAGATTACGCAGACGCTCCAGGTAAAAGGTGGTGTTTGGCAGGACATGGAAGTTCCAGGAGGTTCCATAAGGTTCTGCAGCCATGGAGGCTTGATGTAAGTCATGTGTATCGGGAGCTGGTGGAGGATGCCTCTAATTCCCAGGGCCTTGGAGTGGACCAGCCACGCTGGGAGTTAGAATTGAGGTTAGCCTTCTCTTGTGGACTCCTGACAACCCCTATAGACAAATGGTGGCGTCTGGGGAAGACTGCCTGGTTTTTGGAGGGAAAAAGTGAGCTCATGTCTGCATGGCCAGGCCTTCAGAAGAACACCGTTTCGCTAATTTCTCCTTCTCATTGTCTAGATGGCATTCAAGTCATTGCACTCACTCTGTGTCACCTGGGCTGGGGTCTCCGACTGCTCACCGTAAGCAGCTCACTGACAGAGTCCCTAGTGATCTCCAGTCCCTCCCTCTGTCTGTTCCACCTGGGCCTTCTACCTCACCTCAGGGTTGCCATGTGGATGCCGCAACTCCAAGTTTCATATCCACATTCTGGGCTAGGAAGAAGGTTGTAGATTAAACATTTTATTTTCGTTATGGGAGACTTGGCCTTTTTAATTTATCTCCCAAAAAGTATACACACACATACACACACACACACATACACACAGAAATAGAAAGAGAGAGACTCATAAACACATACACACATACAAACATAGACATACGAACACACGCACAGACACACAAACACGCAGGCACACCCACACAAACACATATTCAGAAACACACAGATCCACAGAACACACCGACCCACAAACACACACAGGACACACACACACACACTCAGAAGAGGAAAGGCCATTTTGTTAACTTTGACTCACACCCCATTCTCTCCCTAGGCTACAGTGTCCTCCTAGGAAAAATGAAGGTGTTGGTCAGTCCCGGGTGTTTTCTCTGAAGGAATGCAAGTGTCCTCCTCGCCAAGGCCCAGAGCCAGTTCACAATTGGAACCCACTTCCTGATTCTGGCAGTTCCTAGGTCATATTCACTGGGCCTGAGGATGCGCAGTCTAGAGAACACTGTGGACCTGGTCTCCTGACCAGGGAAGGCTCCAGGAGAGCCTTTAACTATATTCATTCCTGTGTGTATATGTCGCATGAGTTCTAACAGGCCTTAATAATAAAAAGCCCTGAGTCAGATATAGGGGGGATGCTGAAAGATCAGAGAGATGAAGGAGCAAGCCACAGCCACACCTTACCTCATCTGAAAAGGGACAGAGCTCCTCTTGCCTAATCACTTCCCCTCTCTGCCCAGCCGTATCACTTCCTGCCTGTCTGTACAGACCTCCAAACTTCTATGATTATCGAGTGGCTAGCTCTGGCCTCTGATCTTCAGGCAAGCTTTATTTGTTGGAGTATAAACAAGATATCACTACATGTATACATGCTTGTGCACTAGATAAGAGATCAAGCTCAGATATCCTTCCTCAGACTCTGCTTCTTTTATCTTTTGAGGCAGGGTCTGTTATTGGCCTGGAACTCCCTAAGTATGCTAGGCTGACTGGCCAGAGAGCTGAAAGGATCTGCCTGTCTCTACCTCCCCAGTGCTGGGATTGCAAGCAGGCATTGCTCTATCTGGCTTTTAAAATGTGGGTCTTGGGAATCAAACTCAGGTCCTCATGCTTGCCGAGCAACATTTTACCCACTGAGCTGTCTCCACAGCCCTGTGGAGGTAGTTGTACATCTTAAGTTTCACTCTAGGACTGCCTCCTGCCTCCTACAGTGTGGTGTTCTTTTCTTCGGGAGCAGTAACCCAAGGGAGTCCCCGTTACCAGCCCAGGCTAACGTGCCTGTCTCTTCCAGGTGGGCTGCAAGCTGGTCATGATCTTCTTCCAGTACTGCATTATGGCCAACTATGCGTGGCTGCTGGTAGAGGGCCTCTACCTTCATACACTTCTCGCCATCTCCTTCTTCTCAGAAAGGAAGTGCCTGCAGGCATTTGTGCTCCTCGGATGGGGTATGTCTGTCCATGGTGTTATACTGGTGTGGTTTGCAGGAAGGGATGCCACGTTTCTAGTGGAAGTTCTATCCATCCACCCATCAATACATTCACCAAACTATCCACTATGCACCTATCCAACCATCCACATACCCACCCACCCACTCATTTATCTATTCATTCATCTGTCCATCTGTGCATCCATCCATTCATCTATCCATCCACCCATCCATCCATCCACCATCCACCTATTCATCCATCCATCCATCTATTCATCCATCCATCCATCCATCTGTCCATCTACCATCCATCCATCCATCTATTCATCCACCCATTCATCCATCCACCATCCATCTATTCATCCATCCAACCTGTACCGTATGCAGAGAAAGAAATCAAGGATTTAGTGTCTAGTTCCAGATCCACACTGAACTAACTTGGGTAATCTTTGGCAAGTTGCTGAATCATTAACCCTCTAACTTCAAGTTCCTTGTCTCTCAAATGTGAAATAAGAGCTGTAATTTAGCTTCAATTGAATTTGGGCATCCTGCATCCTGAGCTATTTCCAATTTTATACTGCCCAGCACTTGCCTTGTCTTCCACAAATGACTCATTCTTTGTCCTCTTTATGGGGATCCTTGAAAGTCTGAACTCAGGAGACATGGCTCAGACAGATGCAGTTGATTTTTTTTTTTTATTCTTTGGGGCCGCCACCCAGCTCCCAAATAAATACTGTTTTACTCTTGTTTATGAATACGTGGTGGCCTTAGCCTGGCTTGTTTGTAGCCAGGTTTTCTAACTGAAATTATCCCGTTTCTCTTTAAGTACATTTTTTGGGGCTTTTTTACATTTCTTTATTGTATATATCTTGGTTTCCTTCTCACTCCATGGCTGGCTGTGTGTCTGGATGGCTGGTCCCTGGTGTCCTCTCCTCTTTTTTTACTTCTCGCTCTCTTTCCTAGATTTCTCCTACTTATTCTCTCTGCATGCCAGCCCTGCCCTGCCTATTTCTCTTTCCTGCCTAGCTATTGGCCATTCAGCTCTTTATTAGACCAATCAGGTGTTTTAGGAAGGCAAAGCAACACAGCTCTACAGAGTTAAGCGCAACATTAAAAACTGCAGCACATCTTTGCATCATTAAACAAATATTCCACAGCATAAACGAACACACCACATCTTAAATATTCCACAACAGACAGACTTTAGCACAAAGGGAACAAACTGGCTCACATAAGGGACGAGTACAGAGATCACCAACTTCACGCCGAGTTGAATTCAGGCATCTAATGTTTTCCCTTCTGCCTTTACACTACCATTCGTAACAGCAGCTTTATTCCCCCATGTTATCACCAGGAGCTTGCGGGATGAAGATAAAGACAAGAAACCTTTGGCTACACACACACACACACACGGGGGGGGGGGACGGAAGAGAGAGAGAGAGTCCCAGCATTCTCTGAACTGCTCTGCAGTTTTTTTCTGATTGAGCCACAGGAACCTTATACACGGGCCTGAGACAACCAAGGGGTCTGAGAGACTGGAATGCACCAATGGCCACAAGCCACTCAGATTACCTAGTTTCCAAAGGATGTTCAGGATTTAGTTTCTAGGGAAGAGAAAATGATGGCAAGCCAGTTATGCAAAGGCCCCCACAGCGTATTTTTCTTCTTCCCTTTCTGGCTAAGGGAGCACTTACTGTATTCTAGGTGGTGGCTTACACTGATCACTTAATCAATTCACGAACTTCCAGAAGTCTCTCGGAGACTTTAGCTCAGAGGTCGGATGCATATGTTTAACTTACACTCTTAACAAGGGTGGATCCAGGGTTACCTGCCAGTAAAAAACATCCACCCACCCACTCAATCACTATGTGCCAAATATCCATCTGTCTACCTACATCTACCCACTTAGGAACACAATATACACCCACGCATACACCTATGTACATATCCATTCATACACGTGTGCACCTCCCATACGTCTATCTAGCCATCATTTATGAACCCCCAAACCATCCTTCTGTCCATGCATCCATCCATCTTTCCATGCATCCATCCATCGTCTGCCTGTCTGTCTATCCACCTAACTACCTACCCACTCATTGTTCTTTGGATTTATCACGTACATAAGTAACCTCAAAGTTCCAGGTAGATTAAGGTTCCTGGGAGTGGCTCACAGCTTCTTTTTTGTTGTTGTTGGTTTTTATTTTGTCAAGTCCTGAGAATTGAACTCAGGCCCCCAGCTTTCAAGGCCAACATCTTATCAACTGAGCCATCTATCTCCCCAGCCTGTATTCTCACATCTCTAAACAACATACTACCCTGTCTTGATCTGTCCATCTGAAATGTTATTTTTGGCTTCTGATGGACGTAAAAGGTACAGAATTCCTCATCCACAGCTATATTCCTTATTACTAGTTTTCACAGTTGTGGCTCAAGCCCATATATATGTTTACATTCAGTGTGTACATTATCAAAGCTGTGAAAATACTGCTTACTGCTGAGCCAAGTTATATGCAACTATTTTGTTTTCTATTCATTTAACATTTTGTTTTCCTGGACTCATATTTCATTTGTACGTTATCATTTTTTGATAGAGGTGTAATTTACCCATTGGACTTAGGCAGAGTCTGGTTCCTATGAGTGACTCAAAGTTTACAGACATTATCATGTTTCACAACCACTAGCTTCCTTTGGCTTCTCCCTTGTGCCTTTAAAGATTTTATTTATAGTTATATTTATCTGTGTGTGTTCGAGGTTTTGTGTGTGTGTGTATGTGTGTGTGTGTGTGTGTGTGTGTGTGCACGCAATACCTGTGTAAGCCAGAAGAGGGCATCAGATCCCTTGGAGCAGGGGTTACAGGCAGTTTTGAGCCAACCAATGGGGTGCTGGGAATTGAACTGGGTCCTCTAAAGTAGCAAGTACTCTTTACCAATAATTCATCTCTCCAACTCCTTTCCCGCCTTCACACACTTAATTAGTAAGAGTCTTTTCCAGGAATGCCCTTGTCTGACTCCTGCTTGCCTACGTTTCTACATGCTAGCATCTCAACTCTCCATTAGATCAAAAGGACGGTGACCGAACAGACTGTTTTTACTAATTCTTCCAAATATCCTGGAAAACCCTTCAGTATTATTTTCCAAATCATTAAATACAAAAGGAAATCTCTAGGTTCTTAAATGTTTTGTCAATCTGACTTTTGTGTGTATGTATGTGTAGTGTGTAGTGTGTGTGTAGTATAGTGTGTATGTGTATGTGTGTATTGTAGTGGGTATGTGTTGAGTGTGTTCTGTGTGCGCAGCATGCATGTATGTAGAAGTCAAAGGTTTGCCAAGTGTCTTGCACCTACCACTATCCATCTGTCCATCTTATCTTTTGAGATGGGGTCTTTCCCTGAACCAGCAGACTGATTGGCTAGACTGGAGGGACCGTGAAGTCCAGGGATGCCTATGTCTGCTTTTCCCGTGCTATTACCATGCCTGGCTTTTTTAAAAGGCACGTTTACTTTTATTTTATGAGTGTTTGCTTTCATGTATGTATGTGTACCATGTGCATTTCTGGTGTCCACAGAGGCCAGAATTGGGCATCAGGTCCCCCGGAACTGGAGTTACAAACTGTTGTGAGTCACAAACATGTGTGCACTGGGAACTGAACTCAGGTCATCTGCAAGGGCAGGAAATGCTCTTAACCTCTGAGCCATCTCTCCAGCTCCCTGTGGTGCTGGGAATACAAACTTAAGGTTCATCAGCTTGTATAGGAGTCTTTTTACTGACTGAGCCTTTCTTTCCAGCCATGTATACCTAACATTTTTTGAAAAGCAATTAATCAGAGAGAAATGTTATCTAAAGACTGGTTTCAAAAATGCCAGGGTTAGAGAGGTATATCAATGGTATGGTCCTGCCTAGCATGCTGGAGGCCCTGAGTTTGGTCCCCAAACCACAAAACCATCAAGGAAAAATAAGAGATTGTTTTGAGTCTTCAACTGTCATAAGGATGTACTATGATACAGCTTCCTTCCCCTGCCCTCCCCTGCCCGCCCTCCCCTGCCCTACCCCTGCCCTTCCCCTGCCTTCCCCTGTCCTCCCCTGCCCTCCCCCTGCCCTCCCTGCCCCCCCTGCCCTCTCTGCCCTCCCTGCCCTTCCCCTGTCCTCCCCTGTCCTCCCTGCCCTTCCCCTGCCCTCCCCTGTCCTCCCCTGCCCTCCCCTGTCCTCCCCTGCCCTCCCCTGCCCTTCCCCTGCCCTCCCTGCCCTTCCCCTGTCCTCCCCTGTCCTCCCCTGCCCTTCCCCTGCCCTCCCCCTGCCCTCCCCTGCCCTCCCCCTGCCTTCCCCTGCCCTCCCCGCCCTTCCCTGCCCTCCCCTGTCCTCCCCTGCCCTCCCTGCCCTTCCCCTGTCCTCCCCTGCCCTCCCCTGCCCTTCCCCTGCCCTCCCCTGCCCTCCCTGACATTTGGTTGCCTTTTCTTCTACAGATGCTTGTCTCCATTTCTTTTTCTTGGAGCTTTTGTCTTTTGTTTTGAGACAGGAACTTGCTATCTACCTCAGGTTGACCTTGAACATGCAATCCTCCTGCCTCAGTCTCCTCAGGGCTGCAATCACAGGCTATGGCTTGAGTCCTTCTTTCTCTCTAGACTCCTTTCCTTCCTTCCTTCCTTCCTTCCTTCCTTCCTTCCTTCCTTCCTTCTCTTTCTTTTTTATATTCAACGTTGATGTGTTTAGTGCGTGCGCGCGTGCATGCGTGTGTGTGTGTGTGTGTGTGTGTGTGTGTGTGTGTGTGTGTGTGGTGTGATATACATATGGAGAGACAAAGGGCAACTTGTGGGAGTTGACTCTCTCTTCCACCATATAGATCCCAGTGGTGTAACTCACTGAGCCATCTTATCAGACCCCATCCTTGGTTTTGGAAAATATTCTTATGCTATCTCTTAGATCCTTCCCTTCTTCCCTGATTCACTGTTTGCTCCAACTCTTTTAGTCGCTGATTCATCCCGCTGTGCTGTTCCGTCAGTTTCTTCTGATTTCCTGGGGAGGGAGGTTCTTGTCTTTATCTTCCAACTCTTCTTCCACTGAGTGTTTATTTTGGAAATCAGACATTCATTTCTCTGCCCTCTTTCTTGTTCTCTGGATGCTCCCAATTGGCAACATCCTGTGTCTCTCGTAGATGAAGTCTTTGCTGTCGGTCTGTGCTCTCCCAGGGGTTGTTTTGCTTAAGTTCCTTCTGCTCCCTGCATGGTCTGTTTCCTCTCCGTTCCTTTTCTCTGGTTGTTTTGTTTCTAGCTTTTGATGTAATCTGATGGCTGTGACCTTGGCTCTGTGTTCATAGTTAAGAATGAGTCAGCCCAGTGTTGATGGAAAGCTCTGTTTTCCCAGGGAAACTGGCCTGGAAGTGGCTTCTATACTGGGGGTCCTCAGCTATTTCTAGACTGTTTTAAAAGTTGCCTTTATTTGTTTATTATGTACAGGTGTGTGTGTATTGTATGTGTATGTACATATGCATGTCACAATACACAGGTAGAGATGAGAGAACAAACGATTTGTGGGACAAACTCAGATCGTGGAGCTTAGTGGCAAGTGCTCTTACCCAACAAGCCATCTCAGCAGCCCTATTCCTACGCCTTTTGCCAAGGGTCACTCCGTTTATTCAGAAAAGCATCCTTTAAAGCCTTTGGTTGCACTCAGGGGAGCAGAGTCAGGTAGATAAAGGTTTGCCTATTAGTTCTATACATGGAATAGCCTGGGCGCCTGGCCTCTCTCCATCCACTGTCTTGACCGCAGTGGAAATCTAGGCTGAGCACAGTGGTGCCTAGGGCTCCGGCCAGCTGTGAGGCTGCAGCAGGTGTGTGGCTTGAGCGCAGGAGTTGGAGGCCACTGGACTGCACAGTGCAACCTTATCTCTTAGAACAATGCGACAGCAGAGTGCTGGCCTAGCACATATAAAATCCTAGGTTCGGTCTCCAGCACCCAGCACAGTGGTGCATCCCTGCGCTCAAGAAATAGAGGTAGGAAAATGAGGAGCTCCCGGTCATCCTCAGTTTCCTATTGAGTTCCTTGCCAGCACTGGCTAAATGATTCTATCTCAAAGCAAAAGGAAAGCAAAGCAAATAGCCAGACCTGATGGTGGGGGTCCCTGGTGCCAGCTTTTTATGTGGCTTCTGGGGACTCCGATTCTGGTGTTCATGATTGCACAGCAAGCATTCTCTGAGCCCTCTCCCAGCCCCAATAGACAAGGATTTTATAAGTCAATGCTTTAGTTAATGGCTTTCCCACCAGCTGGATCCTCTGTCTACCTCATTAACCAGGTATTTCCCGTTTCAAACCAAATTGCATCCATGCGCTTTCTCTCCTTTCCAGGAGCCCTCAGGAGTCTGGTCCAGGCTCCGGAGTGTCCTAACCCCAAGTGGCTTTCAGGTTCCACATGAACCCACTGGAGTTCTTGGGGTATTAACAGGTCCCTGGAAGCATGTGGATGCACACTGACACAAGGTGGTAAAAGGGTTTCCGTGGCAAACAAATCTTGTCAATAGCCTAGTAGTACCTGGCCAAGGATAGATGTTCATTCACTGTGCCTGTATTGAATCAGGAGTTCTCTCTCCCCGACCTGTATTAGTTGCTTGTCTCATTGCTGTGGGAAAATATCCTGACAGAGGCATCTTAAGAAAGGGTTTGTTTAGCTCACAGTTTGAGGGGATGGTCCGTCATGGCGGTTTAGCCACGGCAGCAGGAAGTGCTCACATTACAACCACAGTCAGGAAGCAGAGAGAAACGGATGCTCGCTTTCTCCTCTGCATTCAGCACGGGACTTGGTGCCATGGCACGGTGCTGCCCAGATCTGGGGTGGGTCATCCTACCACAATTAACCTTACCTACACAGTCCCTTGAAGACACACCCAGAGTCTTATGTGTTCAGTCATCCTAAATTCCGTCAACATTAAACGTCATACTATAATTGCCTTTGTTTTGACCTTCAGGTTCTCCAGCCATTTTTGTTGCTTCATGGGCCATCACCAGGCACTTTCTGGAAGACATCGGGTAAGCTGGTAGGAGGAAGAGAAGCAAGAATGGCCACATTTTGCAGTCAGGCTCTGTGGCAGCTGGCTCTGCAGCTAAGAATTCAACCAACCTCACACTGCTGGCTCAAGAGGGAGAATGCTTGCCTAGCATGCATGAAGGCCAGAGTTTGATTCCAACTACATTAACTGAATGTGGCTGAGAGAGATAGTTATACTTTTAAGATTAAATACTTTTTAAATTTTTGTATGTATGTGTAGGTATGTGCATATGAGTGCAGATGCCCACGGAAGCCCCAGAGGGCATTGAATCCCCTGAATCTGGATTTACAGATGCTTATTAGCTGTCCTACACAGATGCTGGGAATTGAACTCAGGTGATTGCAATAGTATGCATTCTTAGCCACTGAGCCATCTTCCAGCCCTGAGAGGAACAGATCTTAATGGTGGGCACAGGCCGTGATGACTAAAGGCATGAACACAGTCTTCCTTCCAAGGGTGGCACTGGGAAACATGCCCGCCAGTCAGCCTAGTTCCCCGCTCCTAACAATGCCTAACACACTCTTCCCTAGATGCTGGGACATAAACTCCAACAGTACCATCTGGTGGCTCATCCGAGGGCCTGTGATTCTGTCCATCCTGGTGAGTGGCCGTCCTCTCCCGGGCTGGGGGACAAGTAGGGGAACACTGGACCAGTGGGCAACGAAGGTGGGAAGGCCTGGAGCTTGAGTTCCCAGCAGGTTCTAGGAGGGTAGAGACTGCAGGGTCCCAGAGGTTGGCAGGCAGGCTCTTCACTAAGGAGTGGCCCGAAGGGGGTGGGTAAGCGATTTAAGATAAACAAACAACTCCCATCCCACCCCTCAAAGAAAAGCCACTGCTACCAACAAAACAAACCGAAATCGAATCCTTCCCAAGAGTGGTGAGTTAGTTTCGTCGCTCAGGAGACCGAGGCCGGAGAATTGAATCTGAAGCTTGCCTGGGCTCCACTGTGGTACACTGCATCAAAGAGAAGTGTGAGCCGGTGTGAAGGCTCAGTGCTGTGCAAACCTCGCCACTGACCCTCACTCACCAGAGCCTGCAGTGTAAGAGGGAATGATTACTACAAGTTAGCCTTTGATCTTGGCAGGCGCGTGTGCGTGTGTGCAAACACAGATAAATAATAAAATAACAAAACTAAAAAAAGTGTGCTCCAAGGTTCAGCCAAACCTTCATCCATCAAGATTTCCAGGGGATTCCAAGCCCCAATGGTTATCTGGCTGGCGATTTCGTAGACCTACGAGCCACTGAGCCTGGACAGCGGGATGTGTTAGTTTCAGCTGTGCTCTGGGACTCAGTGCAGGGATGAACAGCCATCCTGACTGTGGCATTCTTCTTGTCCCCAGCTCTAAGAGTCAGGGCCAGAAAATAAGACTCCCTTTAGCCTGACCTGTGCCTTGTGCTTTGCAGATCAATTTCATCTTTTTTATAAACATTCTAAGAATCCTGATGAGAAAACTTAGAACCCAGGAAACGAGAGGAAACGAAATGAACCAGTATAAGTAAGTGTGAGCCAAAAGCTTTGGCATGCTGGGGCAGTCAGCAAACATTGACTGAGTATCTGCTCTTTCCTAGTGCTGGGTACAAAGACAGGCCCCGGGCATACCTATGGTGTGACTGGGGTGAGGGTGGGGGATGGGAGTATTCCTGACACTGTGGGGAGAGAAGACTATGAAATCAGACACAAAACCTACACACATAGAGCTAACCCGGGCAAGGCAGCGATAGTAGAGTTGTTGAGTGGGTATTTATTTGTATGTTACCGATAGAGCTGGGTGACCGGAAGCACTGAGGTTCGGCCATGAGTCTGCTGAGTGCTGCATCTGGGTGGTGAGCAGGTGGGACTTTGGAGATCTTGCCAAATAAAAGGAAACATGTTGGAGATGTTGTTCTATAACAGAATACTTGCCTAGAGTGAGTGAGGGCCAGGGTTGAGCACCTGACACTGTAAAATACACAGATCGTAGATCATAGATAAGTGGGTAGATAGGTAGATGACACGTAGTTATATAGATAGATGTTAGATACCCTCACAAACATTCAAAGATGGCTGATAGGTGGGAGATAAACAGATGATTGATACATGATAGATAAGCAGGTACACACAAAGATAATTGATAAATGATAAATAGATGGCAGATGTAGACAGATAGATGATAGATACTAGATGATACATAGATAGATACATACATAGATACATAGATACATACATAGATACATAGATACATACATAGATACATAGATACATACATAGATATATACATAGATACATAGATGATAGGTGGTTACCAGATAGATAGATACATAGAGCCAGAAAAGCAAACAAAACCCCCAAATATATCAGGAGACATTGCAGCAAAGCTTAAAGCAATCAGGCCTTAGATGAGTTGGACCCTGTGTGAAGAGGGCCTGAGGCAGATCAGGAGTGGCAGCACGTCCCTGTGTCCCCAGGCGCCTGGCCAAGTCCACTCTCCTGCTGATCCCCCTCTTCGGCATCCACTACATTGTCTTCGCCTTCTCCCCAGAAGACGCCATGGAAGTCCAGCTGTTCTTTGAATTGGCCCTGGGCTCCTTCCAGGTAAGTCTCTGGGGCTGTGACTTAAAAGAGGGCTCCTCAGGACTAGCACAGTGGCTCAGTCAGGGAAACACTGACCGGCACTGTAAGCGTGGGGACCTGAGTTCAATCCCCAAGATCCTACAGAAATCCTGCATGTGGCAGTCTGATGATGAGATGGGAGACAAGATTAAGGGATCCCTGGAAGTCACTAGTGAGCTAGCCTGGCCTACTTGGAGAAGTTCCAGGCCAATGAGAGACCATATGACACACAAAAAGTCATAGGACACCTGAGACCTCCATATCTAGGTACATTCGGCCACCCACACATACATGCACGCGCGCGCGCGCACACACATACACACACACACACACACACACACACACACACACACACACACATTTTCAATTTCCTTAGAGAGAAACAAGGCTGTAGAGATATCGACCCTGAAGGTCAGTCTCATATAATCGTGACCCAAGGGCCACAGGAGAGGACCTTATGATGCCAACTGATATTTTTAATTTGAATTTATTTTTTACATTCCAATCCCAGTTCCCCTTCCCTCCTACCCTCCTGCAGGTCCTCCCCTCCCATCTGCTCCTTAGAGAGGGTAAGGCCTCCCCTAGGAAGTCTACTAAATCTTTCCCATCATCTAATTAAGGCAGGACCAAGGCACCTCTCCACCCCCACACACCATGTCTAGGCTGGGCAAGATATCTCTCCATATAGAATGGGCTCCACTAAGTCAGTTTGTACATTAGTGTTAGATCTTGAACCCACTGCCAGTGGCCTCTTGTATTGTCCCAGTCACACCATTGTCACCTATATTAGGAGAGTCTAGTTTGGTCTTATGCAGGCTCCCCACTTGTCAGACCTGAGTCAGTGATCTCTCACTAGTTCTGATCAGCTTGTACTCCAGGAGCTCAGCCCAATGGTTAGTTGTGGGTTTCTGCATCTGTTTCCATCTGTTTCTGGAAGAGGGTTCTAGCTTCCCTAGGGTTGTGGATTGTCAGCTGGTTATCTTTTGCTTTATGTCTGGTATCCACTTATGAGTGAGTACATACTATATTCGTCTTTCTGGGTTACCTCACTCAGGATGGGTTTTTCTAGTTCTGTCCATTTGCCTGCAAATTTTAGAATGTCATTGCTTCTTACTGCTGAGTAGTACTCCATTATTCAGTTGAGGGGCATCTAGGTTGTTTCCAAGTTCTGGCTAATATGAACAATGTTGCCACGAACATAGTTGAGCAAATGTTCTTGTGGTATGAGTATGCTTCCTTTGGGTACATCCCTAACAGTGATAATGAAGGGTCTTGAGGTAGGTTGATTCCAATTTCCTGAGAAATCACCATGCTGATTTCCAAAGCAGATACCAACTGGTTTTGAATCTCCACTAGTAAGAGCATCATGGAAATGGGGGGGGGGAGGTTGACTCCTGGGAGAAACAAGGGGGAAATCAACTGAGCATGATGTACAAAGTGTTACACAACCATAGCAGGTAGCACATTCACAACCACAATGAGGCACACAGAGAGTAAAACCACAGGCAGATGGGCCCTCCTTTCTTACCGGAAAGTCCAGAGGAAATGCCTAAAGCTGAGAAATGGGAAACTCAAAACATCAGCATGCTATTTAGAATCAGTTAAGAGAGTTCAAGCTGGTTTTGTTACTCCTAAGGAGTAGGAAGTCGGGGTGGGTGGCAAGGGGATGCTGGACTTATGGGTGCGTGCATGTGTGTGTGTGTGTGCGTGTGTGTGTGTGTGTGTGTGTGTGTGTGTGTTTGTGTAGATAGGAGCTCTCTGTAGCCAGGGACTTACCAAGTAGGCTAGATCATGCTAGCTGGCCAGCCAGCCCAGGGACCTGCCAATCTCTGTCTCCCTGGTGTGTCACACAGTGAATGTTTTACATGGGTTATGGGATGGAACTCGGGGCCTTGAGCTTGCTATGCAAGCACTTTATCCACCGAACCACCCTCTCGGCCCCTGGCTGTTGGGGTTTTAACCAGAATCTTTCGTGGGGGAGGTCACCTACCTCACCTACCTCTAATTACCAAGGCAACAATAACAAAAATAAGTAAGAAGAAATTCTAATTGGGAATCTCAAGCCTCACATTGTTGCTTTATTTGTTTGCTTGTAGCCATTTCTTTCCAAAAATAACATGAAGTGGCTTTCAGCAACAACAGACAGAGGAAAAAAAAATATGTAGATGACTTATCAGTGGAAAAAAATATAAACCTGGTGTGGTAGTGTACTTTGTAATCCAAGTACTCGGGAGAAGGAGGTGGGAGTCAAGGTCATCCTTCACTACATAGCAAGTTTGAGGTCAGCCTGGGTCTGGAGCTTTCCAGAAGCCAAAGAAAGAACAGTTTGTTTCAAGACCTATAGTATCCATTAGATGACAGCCAGTGGATTTGGCCTGTGGCTGAATGGTAGAGCATTTACCCTGCATCCTGAGACCCTGGGCTCCATTCCCAGCACAACCTGCATATGCATGTGTTCACACACATACACAGACAGACAGACAGACAGACAGACAGACACACACACACACACTGAAAACAAGCCTTGTGATCATACCATAGGGCTTGAGGACGTTCACCCCCATCATCCCACCCCTCCACCCCTGCTAAATTTTCCCTGCTAGTATTCCCACAGGGAGTATGAATCTAGCAGAGCCCACGCAGTGGGGAGGTCTTAGCCTCAACGTAAGGCCTCCTCTCTCCCTTCATCCCTTGGATTGTGCTCAGGGTAGGAGAATCTATTGCCGCTACTCTTGATTCCAAGGTAGCTTCCTGGTGACATAGTGAGTCAGATCTTGACCCTCTCTCCTATTTCAAACCCAACACTAGGCTGCCCCTATCCCCTCTTCTGAGAAGCTCCCTGAGCAGAGCCTCTGCCAGTGCCCTGGTCCTATTCCACCTGAAACAGTGGGCTCACCAGGACCCATCCCATCCGGGACTTTGGAAGGATTTGGCTTGACCACCAAAGTGGGTAGTGATCATTCAGAGAGCTTGGGGTCCCCAGAGCTGCTTCTCCATGTAGGTAGGGACTTCCTGTCCCCAGAACTGGGAAGACAAGATAAAATCAAAACCAAACCAACCAACCAACAAACAAAACAAGAATGCTTTCCCAAAGTCCCATGAACTTGCTTTTAAATGAGGTCACTAAAAATGTAAATATCTGGACTTGGTACACATGCGCAATCTCAGCCCTTGGGAGGCAGAGGCAGAAGGTGGCTTCACATTCTAGGCAAGTTACAAGCCAGCCAGTGACTTGTGAGATTCTGTCCCTCAAAAAGTGTATGTGTATGTTCTTTTTTTTTTTTTTTCTTCAGGACAGGGTTTCTCTGTATTATTTTGGGGCCTGTCCTGGAACTAGTTCTATAGACTAGGCTGGCCTCAAACTCTTGAAGATCTGCCTCCCAAGTGCTGGGATTAAAGGTGTGCACCACCAATACCCAGCTGTGTAATGTTCTTATGAATACAAATACATTAAATGAAATATGTAGCCATATACATGTATGTGTATTCAAATATAAACATACCAAAGTTTCTTCCACATACCAAAGGGAAGAGAATAACAGAATGAACCTGTGTCTACAACCATCCTAGACAATGCAGCAAGAGATGGGGGCAATGGGCTGAACAGAAAGCTTGGTGGTTAATAGTTTTTAGCTCTTACACAGGACCTGAGTTTGGTTCCCAGAATCCTTATCAGGTGGCTCCCAATCACCTGTAACTAGTTCCAGGGAATCTGGGCTCTCTTCCGTCTCCCACAGATACCTGAGCACAGATAGCATGCACACACACACAAAAGTATACATAACTGTACATAGAAATAAATCTCTAAGGACAAAAACATAACACTTACAACAACAATAACAGCAACACAAACTCACCAGATTGTTCTGGCTTTGTATCTCCACGGCAGAACGTGTTTAGCCCGCATGGGCTATGGGTTCAAGTCATGCCCCTTCAAAAACAACCTGGGGAGATCACTCAGTGGGAAAACTGCTCATTGCACAAGCAGAGAACCTGAGTTAGAATCCCGGGCACCCCTGTAAAAATCTGGGGTAAGGGAGTGCCAGTAATTTAAGCACTGAGGAGACAGAGACAAATGGCCCTCAGGAGATCATGAACCAGCCTGTCTGGCCACTCAGAGCCCTGGGTTCATTGAGAAAGCCTGTCTCAAAAAAAGCTTGAGGAGACCTGATTGAAGGTGAGGACCAATGTTGACTTGTTGACTTGCCTTCATCAGTAAACACATGTGCACTTACATACATGTGCACACACACACACACCTCGCAAAGCCAATATTCCTGAGCACTTGTTCATATTAAGCCCACCAAGGGTCCTTCAGTGTGGTAAGTAGCTAAAGGCTAGAGCAGAGGGCTAGGCCAGCTGAAGTTTTAAGCTGAATAATGGAAGGCTTTGGGAAAGGAGGGTTATCAGGGAGATGGAGGGCAGGCCTGTGGGGAAGGCAGGATGGTGAGGTGGGCTCTGAGGGAGGAAGGGAGCAGGATCTCCATGGATTGGTTTCCTTCTATTGCTGTGGTAAAGCACCCTGACAAGAACAGTATAGGGAAAGGGGGGCCTTCATTGTGCCCCAGAGTTCTAAGGCACAGCCTGTGATGGCGGAAAAATCTTGGCACAGGACCTGAGGCAGCTGGTGGCATTGCGGTGCCCAGCTTTCTCTACATCGGACAGAGTAGTGCCTCCTACACGTGGGGAGAGTCTTCCTACCTTGATTAATCTAGAAAACCCCTCATAGGCATGCTCTGAGCTTCTCCCCCCAGGTGATGCTACCTAGCCTCCATCAAGCTGACAGTCAATAGTGACCATCACCCACACCCAGGGCTCTGCAGGCATTGCACGTTGACATCCCTCACCTGGCCCAGATGCATGCTGGAACCCTGGGAACTCCATCCAGAAAACAGGAGCTCTGAGAGAAAATCCAGATAAACACTGCCCCTCCAAGTCAGGGGACACAGCCTGGACCCCAGAGCTGCCCCCACCTGCTAACAGACCTGCACATACTGCGCTTGGACCACACATCTGTTCTTGGGAAGGAATTGGCTCACCTCTCTTGTGACAACCCTGCCCCTGTTAATGGGATGGGGGTGATACTTCAGGGGCCTCCTGTCTCTGCTGCCTGAATGGCTCTCTATATCAATTCCAGAGATCTGAACCGTCCCTTTAGTCAGAAGCTCCTCTTCACTTATCCACACCACTGGCACAGGAGTTGGAGGCCATGTGCTAGGCCTCAGGGGTTATAAATAAAACTGACTCCCTCCGTGTAGAACAAGGTAGGCGCATCAGTGTACTATGGGCCCCAAAGTAGGAAATCCCTCAAGGCTGAAAAGTACATAACACAGAGAGAGAGACAGAGACAGAGATGAGGGAGGGGTGTGTGTGTGTGTGTGTGTGTGTGTGTGTGTGTGTGTGTGTGTGCGCGCGTGTGCCCACGGGACTCGGGCGGGAGCAAATGGGAGGGATAAGCCAAGTCTACAACCCATGGACTAACTTGCAGTTCCTTCTTTAGGGGCTGGTGGTGGCCATCCTTTACTGCTTCCTCAATGGTGAGGTGAGTGTCCTGGGGAACCATGGAATTCCAATGCAGGAGCAATGGGAGGACGATGGGGATGGGAAGGGGCTGGGGACAGGTCTGCTTGCTTGGCAGAGTCACCTGGGGATGTGCTAAATCATATCCTGGGCAATGTCCCGAGGATAGAGCCAGCAGAAACAGATTCTGTGAGTGTGGGCTGGGCCTGTGGAAGCGTTCCTTACCAAATTGTCTGGGTGCTTCTTATCCATGAGCTAGCAAGCTCAGCAAACCCGGAAGAGACCAGACCCCACTCAGAAGTCAAGTTCCTGACAGCTCTGCTGCTGGCTCTGCGGGTGACCTGGGTCTCTTCCCACTGGGAGCTTGGTCTTCCCATGAGTGAAGTGGGTCACTGGAAACTGCCCCGGCCTTGGGCAGAGACTAGGTTCTCGGAGATGAAGCTCCAGTCATTGACCCTGGCTAAATAGGTACTGCACTCAAGCCAAGTGTCTCTGTGGTTGTTGCCAATCTGTCTGGTTCACACACTTGAATGGGAATGACCTCAGATGTTTCCCAAAAGTCAAACATCAAACCTGAATTCAGAGGTTCCAGCGTTCCATTGGGGACCACGGAGCAAACCCTCAGATCCCGGATGGATTCCCGGCTTGGGGGGGGGGGTTCTGGGAACAAGCATGTGGGTTTGGACACAGGATTCTGTGGTTCGTGGAACAACTCTCACACCTTTTCTGAGGAGCACAGTGTTAGAAGATGGCGGGTACAGTCCTGCCTGATGGCTCAGCAGGTGAACGTGGTTGTCCCTAAGTCTTTGATCCCCAGAACTGATGGAGAAGGAGAGCTCCCATCGTCCCCTGACCCTCATGAGAATGTCCTGGCATGCACGTGTGTTCACACCTCACAAGTGCCTTCTATACATAGGGCAGGAACTGGTCAGTCAGAGACCTGTCGGCAAGGGGACACAGCAGGGCCATGAGAGCAGGAGTAGCTGGACTAGTCAGTGAGTCAGGTTCTAGGCACAGGCCGGTCCCTTCCCTCTCAAGTGGATGCTGCCGCTGATGGCCGGTCTCGGGCAGGTGCAGCTGGAAATTCGGAAAAAATGGCGCCAGTGGCACCTCCAAGAGTTCCCGCTGCGCCCTGTGGCCCTCAGCAACTCCTTCAGCAATGTCACCAGTGGTCCTACCCACAGCAGCAAGGCCAGCACCTCGGAGCAGAGCCGGAGCACCCACAGGGCCAGTGTCATGTGAGCCTGCAGCAAGGCTCGCAGAGGGGACATTCAGTAGGAAGGTTATCTTCCTAGCACCCGTTTTGTGTCCGAGGAGCTGACAGGAGCTTCCTTGGAACGAAGCAGGACTGGGTCAGAATGCAGCAGGAAACAGGCCTGTGGTTTGGTCTTTCTTGTTCTGAGTCGAGCAATTCAGGGGCCCCAGAAGAGACATGGGAATAAATGACAGCTAGAAAACCCTAGTCTGTGTGTGTGTGTATCTTTTGCCACCTGGGGAGGTAGTAAGTTCTAGACCACTTCCCAACTTCTCCCTGCAGGAGGAAGGAGCTTCCCTGCCTCCAAATCCCAGCTGACTTTTAGGAACAAGCTTAGAAGCTCAGAAAATAGGTGGAATCAAGACTCGGGGCCTTAGACAGATCTTGTCTGTCCCCTACTGCAACCCATCTGCCCTAGAACTCTCACAGAGCTTTCAGGACAGCAGCCAGAGGAAGCTGATGACATCACGGGCCATCTGAACCCTCCCTTTCATTATCCCTGGTGTGGTATGAGGAGTCCGTGGAAAGTGGGTACCATCAGGAAGTAAGCCAAGCTCTGTGGACGGGAGACAGCTCCTCTAGGGCCCAAGGCATGCCCAAGCTACTTGGTAACCATGTGGGAGTCTTGTTATTTTGAGACACTGTCTCCTGTAACTCAGGCTGCTCTGCCATTCCATAGGTAGCTGAAGATGGCCTTGAACTTCTGATCCTTCTGCCTTCGCTTTCCAAGCGCTAGAATTACAGGTGTGCACCAGCAAGCCTGGTTTATGTGATCCTGGGAATCAAACTTGTGGCTTCATATGCATAATGGGCAAGCACTTTACCAGTTGAGCTATCTCTCCACAGAACCCTAGTGCAGACTGTTTTCCTTTAAATATCTGAGCTTCAAGGCTGGTGATGATTTCCTCCATCTCAAACAGGGAGAACAAAGGCCCATCTCCTGCACGTTGAGCCTCCTTAATGCTGGCTCTCCATGCCTCAACATGTGCACTCCTTGACTCCACAGACAGATGAAATGTTTGAACCTTCTTGCAAAACAAAACCCAACAGGGAAACCTAAGCAGAAATGGAGACATGGCCTCCCATTTGCATCTTGCAGGCTGCTGTAGGACCCCTTCTCAGGCTGAGACCCAGAGCAAGTGGTCCATGAACTCCGGTAAAAACGGACAACCACCACAAGCTCCTCGGGTAGAGATGGCAATATGGTTCAGTGGGGGAGTAGCTGGCCAGGTGCATCAGGCCTTGGATATTGAGTGATCCTTAGCATTGCAAAATAAATCAATAAACAAGCAAGCAAGCGAGCAAGCAAGCAAGCAAACCAAATAACGGGTTCTGGGAGTCTCCAAGGTCTCTGAATAGTGGTGGTTCAGCTTTAGCATTTGCAGTCTCTCGTGCCTCTCAGCTGGAATAAAGATGCCTAAAAGTCAGAGCTAGAGAAGTGGCTTGCAGCCAGTGAAAGCACTTGCTGAGAAAGCACAGTGGCTTTAGCTGGGTCCTCAGAACCCACGTAAAGGTGGAAAGAAAACCAACTCCAAAACATATGTGCACATGGTGTGTACACGACCACACACACGTACACGACAATAACTAAAATAAGGATATTTCAAATCACTGTGGAAGGGGCTGGACGGATGGCTTGATGGGTAAAGTGGGTAACCATCTGAATTCAATTCCTGGAGTCCGTGTGTAAAAGCCAGGTGACTGTGTAGATCTGCAATCCCAGTGCTGGGTAGACAGAGGCAGAGGTCCCCGGGGGCTCGCTGGCATCCGGGAAAGCACACTTGGTGAGTTCCAGGCCAGTGAGAGACACTGTCTCAAAAACAAGGGATATGGTTTCCTGGAAAATGACACATAAAGTTGGCTTGTGTACCCTCACACAGATATGTGTACACACATGAATATGTATACATACAAAATCACAATAAAATGCTACTTGGGGACGTTGGGGCAGAAGGATCACTTGAGCCCACAAAGCAGAGACCAGTCTGGGCAATATCTGTCTCAAAATAAAATAGCCCTCAGTGGTGAGGTATTTGATTAGGGTGTAGAAGGCAGGAAAGAAATCGTCAGAGGTGTATTCACCTAGCTCCATAAGGGACCCTTATGACAAGATCAGGACAAATTCTAAAAGCCCACTCAGTGTGTGAAGGAGACAGGGATCTTACAGAATAAAAACCAAAGCATCTCATCTGTGTCTGGGTGGTAAAAACTAGAAATGGGGGCAACAGGGTGAGCAAGCAGATACGGGCTGAGGGGAAGACCCGGCTGGTCCATCAGTTGCCTTGCTAGCACAGGACCTGAGTTCAATCCTCAGAACCAGTGCAATAAAAGATGGGCATGGTTCCAAACCCTTGTAATCCCAGCTCTGGTGAGATGAGACCCAGAGGTCTCTGGAATTCACTGGCAGCCAACCTAGCCTAGCTAGCAAACTCCGGACCAGAGAGAGATCATCTTGAAAAACCAAATGGGCCCAGGGGGATGTTTGCTACACAGACCTGACCACCTGAGTTTGGATTCCCAACACACACATAAAGCTGGAAACAGTAGTGGCCACGTCTGCAATCTCACAGGGTGAAAAAGAGAGAGGCAGGAAATCCCTGAAGGCTCACAGCCTGGCTAGCCCGGTATGTGCAGCAGAGAACAACAAACACACCCGGTCTCAAACAAGATGGAAGGTGAAGACCAACAGGGAATATTGACCTCTAAACGCCACCTGTGTTCCAGGGAGTGTGCATGCCCACACACACACACACACACACACACACACACACACACACACACACGGATAGCATTTGAGAAACAACACAGCCAAAGCTGTCCTCTGGCCTCCATACATTGCTGCTCGCGCACGTGCCCATATACACATGCACTTGCACACACATGCGTGCACATGCACACACGGGTACCTGTACACACATGCATGTGCATACACACCCATACACATATATGCCAACACACAGAGGGAGGGGGCAGAGAGAGAGAGGGCACAGTTCTTCCAACGAGTGTGGAAATCTCCACTGGTCCTTGATCCCCTTCACCTCCACCTATCCCCTGCAAGCTGTTAATTATTACTCAACATCTGTTTGTCCCCTCACCCGCTGGGGAGTTTGGCAGTGCAAGCATGTGCTCTCTGAAATGTGTTCCAGGATCAGAAACGGACGCTGAGGCCACCCGACCCTTACAAATGTCAGTCTCGCAAACAGCCAGTCCTGAGTCTAAACTGGCCTCGGGGAGGACTGTGTTAGAAATCACCTGAGCACTCTTGCAGGGGTGTTGCTCAAGGAAGACTTCAAACTGAGCCCACAGGGAAGACAGCTAGTGTCTAGGAACTGGGGCGTTCCAGAACCCGTGGGTCCACACGAGGACAGGGGAGGATTGTAAACCAACAGACTGAAAACGGATTGTTCCAAAGGCTTCCTGGGGGAATGCTGCTACAGCCAGGGAAAGGTGTGCAAAGCCCCCTGGGTGAGCAGGTGGGAGACGGTCTAGTCACTGACTGGTCCCTTAGGTGGAGCCATTCTAGAAACCTCAAGAGTCCCTAAGGGCTGGGCTGGGGAGACTGTGGTTACAGCACTTGCCATGCAAACAAGAAGACCACAGTTTGGACCCACATAAATGTTGGATGGTGTGGTGGCTCGCCTGTAATTCCAGACTGGGAGGCCGAGACAGGATATCTCCAGAGCAAGCTGGTTAGGGAGACCAGCCTTGCAGGTGAGCTCAGGGTTTGATTGAGAGACCCCGCTTCAATGAATAAGGTGGAGAAGCAACTGATGATAAATCCAGGCATCCACCTCAGATCTCCATATGTACACACTTGCATGTATGTACCTCCACCCATACATGATCCCATACACATGTGAAGATGTGTATACACGCACACACCACATACATATACACAGCCCCGCACAGATCCATCCCGGTGCTATCAATGAAACAGGTATGAAGCCTACTTAGCTGGATAGCAGCCTGAAACAGAACACTGGTGTCTTTCAAGGTCTATTCCAGTCCAGGGAAGAAAACACCCAAGGAAGAAGTTTTACAACAGTCTTCTTATTTTAGAATTGACATCTTAATAGCTTGGCTAACCTCTACAGCTTGCTGTGCTATAGTTCTGAGGCAATCCTCTGGCCTCTGGCCTGGAGGGCAGCTGAAGAGCACCCGCCCACCCAGGGCCATTTCTAGAGCTTAGTGTCTAAAAGGCAGCTTCAAGATCATCGTCCCACTCAATCCCAGCCATTGGTCCTATGCAAGAGAAGTCCCATCATGACCACACTCTCTTATGGAAGCCAGAGCGCCCCCTGGAGGGGCCTTAGATTTTCCTTAGCGGGTCCCAGGGCTGGGTGAGGCTGTTAATGTGAAGGCCGCTGGCAGCGTTGAGAAAGAAGAGGAAGGAGGCAGTAAACTCGCACCAAAACATCAGGGTGAAGCCCATTAGGGTGATGTGACTCTTGAGGAGGATCATGAAGGTAAGGAGCCCCCCAGAGGAGAGGATGAAGGCGACCAGCAGGAGGTAAGAACCAATGGCCCACTTCCGTCGAGAGCGGACATCCTCACACACCTGGGACACCATGAGCAGCTCCAAGCCAAAGATGGCAGCCACCACAGCCAAGGCGGCCACACTGCGCACTAGGCCCATGCCCACAGCCAGCCCCGGCACGTGAGCCTGGCTCAGGTCTCTCATGCAGTGGGGTCCACTGTGGTTGCCGACGGCACAAAAGTACCACAGCCCAAAGAGACGGTCCTCCACCAGGAGCCAGTGGCCATCGCAGATGGAGACTGAAGAGAGGACCACAGCCAGGGCAGTGCACAGGATGATGAGCGTCCGGATGAAGGACTCAAAGAAGGACCGGTGGGGCCTCTTAGGGCCCAGCAGCCTCTGGGCCTGGAAGACACCACACCACGGCAATCAGTGAGTAGGCAAGGGCCTGTGACACCTGGAATAACTCCCAGCAGGCAAACCCCCTTCCTCCAGCCCCGTTGTCTGCTCCGATATCATGGGAAACCCTGAACTGACCTCCCCACCTCCACTGGGGCCCTTCCCTCTTCTCTCTGTCCTCCCCCTCTATCAGAGCCTGTCCAGGCCTTTACCAGTTACAAACTGAATCCTTCCTGCCCTTCCGCTCAGGGTCTCTACCCAGGATAAAAAGCCCAAGCTGGAGCTGGGAAGATGGCCTTGCTGGGACGGGGCTTGCTTTACAAGCACAAGGACCACAGTTTGATCCCAAGGACCCACACTTAAAAAAGACAGGCGGTAAGTGCGTGTAACCCCAGGGCTGGGAAGGCAGAGAAAGGCAGATCCTGTGGGGCCTGCTGGTCAGCCAGCCTAGCCTAGTGGGTGAGCTCCAAGCCAATGAGAGACCCTGTCTCAGAGAGAGAGAGACGGAGAGAGACATGCACACACAGAGAAGATGGTGCCTAAATAACAACAGCCGAGGTTGGCATCTGATCTCCATATGCATGTTCACACACACCACACACATAAACATGCCATATACACACACAGACCACACACACACTCACACACTCACACACATCACACACCACACACATCATACCACACACACACCACACACACAAACATACCATACACACACACAGACCACACACACATACACACACACTCACACACTCACACACACACACCACACACATCATACCACACACACACCACACACACAAACATACCATACACACACACAGACCACACACAAACACACCATATACACTCACACACATCGCACACACCACACACACAACACACCATACACACACACACCACACACACATACATACACACCACACACACATACATACACACCACACACACCACACACACACAAACACACCATATACATACACTCACACACACACACACCACACACACACCACACACACACACACACACACACTGACAGCTGATTAATATAGTTCCACACCTGGGAAATTCCTCTTTCAGACCTCTTCGTCCCCTGACTGACAGCCCCTGGGCGTCTCTCTCACTCCTGAGAATGACAGAGCCTCTATCCCTATTCTCTTTGGTGAGGCTGTTCCCAGCCAGCCAGCCACTGCGTCCTCTCCTACCCCACCTCTCTCCAGGGTGCACGGCTCTCTGTTCCCTTCTGATGGTATTTCGGAGTAACTTGTCTTTGGCTGTCCTACTTGGACTCTGTGCCCCCTAGGAGGGCAAGGCACATGTCAAGAGACTGCTTGCTGTATTCGCAGTCCTTGACACGCTGTTAGGTCTGAGTACTTGGTAGGCACTAGAGGAAGAACACAGGGGTGTGGAGGATGCTCAAGTTTGCAACTTGTGCCTTCCGCTTGAAGTCCATTGCAGACTGCACCTCCTGCCCAGACGCACGCTAAATGACTCATTTAGACGATGCGCAGAAGCAGATTACATCACTGTTCTGGAGGTGGGAAAAATAAGCAACACAGAATGGTTGGTGTTGGGAAATGAGGGGAGTGAAGAAAAGGGGGCTGCGGGGGCCATTGTGTGCCAGAGCCGTGTCTCTCTAAGGAAGACGGGGCACTGAGCCTGGCTCCTGCAGGAGTGCAGGCAGAGCCCTTCGGGCTGGGAAGATCATTAATGTGCTTACCATGCAAGCATGAGGACCCGAGCCCAGATCTCCAGCACCCACATAAAAAGTCAGGTGTCCTAGCTAGCCACAGTTGTAACTCCAGCGCTGGGGGGGGGGGCTGGGGGTAGATGGGTGGATCTCTAGAGTGTGTTGACTAGGAAGTCTAGCTTAATCAATTAGGGACCTGTGAGAGACCTGTCTCAAACACGTGCACTTGCGTTCTCTCTCTCTCTCTCTCTCTCTCTCTCTCTCACTCTCCCCCCCCCCACCTTTATTTTGAGCCAGAGTCTTATACACCGAGCTCTGCCTTGGTTCACTATATAGCCAGAGATGATGTTGAATGTCTAGCCTTCCTCCCTCCTGGGACGACAGAGAGCATCTCCATACTTTGTTGATTTGGTGCTAGGGTTTGAAACTGGGGCTTTAGCCAAACCAGGCAAGCATTTTACCAACTGAGCCATCTCCGGTGGGTGTCCTTGTTTTCTCATCTGCCCAGTGAGGCTGGTCATCCCTGCAGGAAAGCACCTGGCAAGGTTGTGAAATCTCTAGAGACTAATAGGGTCACAGGATGGGGCAGCCACAGACACAGAGAGCGAATCACAAGACTCAGTGGCCAGCTCGGGCAGGCACCTTTTGACCCTAGGCCTCACACTGTCTGGAAAACAGGCACATCCAGTCCCTTCCTCAGCCCCGCCTGTCCCAGGCTCAGACTGGACTTTAATCTTCAGGCCCCAAGATGCCACACTGGGATCAGACGGAAGTGACAGAGAGCTCTGGTGTCACCTTTCTTTCTGTTGACTTGAAGCAGGCTTCATCTAAACTCCCTGACCACCAGTTAAATGGCAAGAATTAAAGGCTCGTGTGGTTGAAGATGTGTGGGGCTGGGAAGACAGCTCGGTCTGTAAAGTGCTTGCAAGCATGACGATCTGAGTTCGATCCCCGGAACCCATGGGAAAAGCTGGGTATGTTGGTGCACATTTATAATCCCAGCACCGGAGAGAGAGATGGGGGGCTCACTGGGACTCACTGGCCAGCTAGTCATACTAGTTTCTGAGTACCTTCCCCCTTCTCCCCCCCAGACAGGGTTTCTCTGTGTAGCTTTGGAGCCTGTCCTGGAACTCACTCTGTAGACCAGGCTGGCCTCAAACTCACAGAGATCCTCCTGCCTCTGCCTCTGCCGGGATCAAAGGCGTGTGCCACCACTGCCCGGCTCTAAGCATCTTTTATTGGGTGCTCCACACCTGTTTTGGGGTACGCCCACCCCTGGTCTCATCTTCCTTTTTCCCTGTGCCTTCCTCCCTGCCTGGAGATGGTCTGGAATAATGCCCAGTACCAAAGAATAAGAAGCCACTGAATCAAAGTCCCTGTCACATTCAGCAACTGAGTTCTGGTTAAAGGGGTCTGGGGGTGACCTATACAGGGCTTTTTTTCTTGTCACCAAAGGGGGTGAGTGAAATCTGGAGGCAGGAAGACCTACATTTCTCTACATTCTGTCACTTGGCTATCTATCCACCTTGGGCAGGTCACCTTTGAGCCTCAGTTATCTCCCTAAAAGGTGAAGAACTGTAGGAGTGGCCTATGCCACTCAGGGGCTACTCAGGGGGCTGAGGAAGGACAATGGATTGAGCCCAGGAATCTGAGACGATCCTGAACAAGAAAGCAGGATCCTGTCTGTCTCAAGCAGTATGGATAATGATAAAAAAAAAAAAAAAAATGATGACCATTAATGGGTGGGACGATACCTAACATTAGCGTCCTGGAGCCTGAGCATCTGGAGTCAGAGTCAACTGACCTCTGTACTCCCCAGGACAAGAAGGAACAGCGGACAACCTGGAGGACAGCCAGCCACCGAGATGCCTGGGTGAGCAGGAAGCAAGCCCGCGGGGTAGTGGACACTTCCCAAAGGCCCTTTGAAGGGGGCAGGAATGTGGAGATTCTCAGCCAACACAAACACTCGCTCCAAAAGAAGCCAGATCTTAGGGGAAGGGGAGGCTCCTGTCCCAGGATCCTTTTTCCGGGGGTGTCTGGTCCCCAGTGAGTACATTCCCGCCTCAGTTCTACCTAGCTCCCCAAACGCGTTTTAGAGGGAGATGGTCTTTACAGTCCCCGCTCGCAGAAAGTTCTGGCTTTGCAAGCAACTAATCCACCGTTACATAAACCAAGCCTAGCATTTTGCAAGTCCATCCTCCACTCCAGACGCCCAGTTTTAAAAAATTTCCCAACGACCCTCCCCACCCCGCGAGAAAAGCCTGACAGGTGACCCCGAAGAAAAGTTTGCTGGCCTCTGGTGCTCTCGGGGGAGAGAGCGAGCTGCACTGCCGGAGCAGGTGCCCCCAGATCGCTCTCAGAGAAGCCTTCGGAGGGGCAGGGGTCCCAGCAAGAACTGGGCACCTTGGGGAGCTGTCACCCTGACCCAAGGCTTCAGTCACTGAGGGTCCCCAGTCCTCCCCCGTGGTAGGCTGTACCCCGGCTCTGCGCCCCGCGGGCCCCTCGGGCTACCTGCGCGCCGATGGCCGTCATGCTGCGCCCTGGGCAGCCTCGCTGTTGCCTGGCCTAGCTGTCGTGCTCCGGCTGCGCTGAGCTCGGCCGCGGGGCTGGCTCTCTCCCGGGGCGGGGCGCAAGTCAGGGGGCGGGGGCTTCGTGCTCACTATGCTGCTCGGGTGACGCTGACTCAGCGTCCTGGGTCCCAGGGACGGGACCGGGTACCCGGTGACCCGGCTTGCGATCCTCGATCCTCGCCTGGATGCAGATTCTTCGAGGGCTGGGAAATTTGGTTCCAGTCCAAGTTTGAAGGGCCACGTGTCCCGAAGGAGCACCTGGGTGCAAAAGGTGGAGGATCCCGCCAGGATTCTGGCTCCTACACCCGCTGTGTGACCTTGGACTGTTAGTTTAATGTCGCTGAGCCTTGGTTAATAAGTGAGATAATGTGTGATTGGCTGGGCTCTTGCAAGGCCCTTGTGATGGGTGAGTGGAACCTTCTGGAGCTACCACTTGCCTTAGTTAATCCTTTAAGGAGGATTCACAGCGTCCTTGTCTCCTGATACCTTCAGGGATTGTCAGCAAATATCAGGCCGGATGTGGTGGCAGACTCCTGTAATCCCAGCACTTGAAAGGGCTGAGGCAGAGCGATTGCCTAGAGTTGGAGGCCTGTCTGGGTTCTGTGGTTGGTTCCAGTGCAGCTTCAGAGGGAGGAGGGGGATGGGAAGAAGGAAGAGGAGAGAAGAAACGGGAAGGAAAAACAGGAGGGAGGTGAAGAGCTTTGTACAGCACACTCAAAGCCCCGGGTTCCTCTCCCAAAAGCCTAAGTAAACAGGATGGGGGAAATGGTGTACAAAAATACTTTCACCTCAAAAGGATGGGAGGTCTGGTCTGAGGGTCTTATCTAGTGCTACCTACCTCCTTCACCCGATGTGGGGAGGGGGTGACTAAGGTAAAACAAGAGGCTGACTAAGAGATAGATTAGATGGATTAAGTCATGTCGCTTTTCCTGGCATGTAGGGAGCTCTCTCTGGCTTATCTGAAGACGTTGGATGTTGAAAGCACTACGCACACTCCCTGGAAGAGCCCCGGGACAAACAGGAAGACACAGTCACGCATGCATCTTCTGCTTCCATATTCTTCCGGTCCCTTGACCATCAGAGAAAACCCTGGCCAGTCCAGGGCCAGGCAGAGGGGGTGTGGAGGCCTCTCCTTGTCTCTTGTCTCCTGTCTCTTGACTTCCTGTTCTGAGTGAGCGCCACCCGGGAGACTGGCAAACACACTGACCCCTCCCCAGAACTTCTGACCAGACCAGTGGGACTGGGGTGAGACCTGTTGTGAGTGACCTTGGTGCTGCTGGCTCTGAGGCTCAGGACCTGAGCTATGGCCAAGGCAGGTGGCCAAGGCCAGCCATTGTCAGTGCTTCTCTTCCCCAGCCCAGGGTTCTAGAAGCCGGGCATTCGTTTCTCTGAAGCTCTGGACTCCAGAGGAAGAGCTCACAGGGAAGCAGGACCTAGCCCTCCTCCCATCTGGGGGGGGTGGGGCTGGCAATCCCTTCAAGCAGCTCTAGAATATTGTGCCTGAGGGACCGAATGTTGTGCCAGAGGGACCTGTATTACTCTTCTCACCTGCCCTAGGTTGGCAGTTGTCTGGAGTGAGCACCAGAAGGTGACAGGACACGGTGCCTCAGCTTGTAGAGAGCTTGCTTAGCATGCACCAGGCCCCAGGTCCCATCCCCAGCATGGCAAGATGGGTGTGATGGTATAGGTGCCTGTAATCACGGCCCTTGGGGCGTGGAGAGAGGACGATCGGAAGCTTAGTCATTCTTGATTACATGAAAAGCTTGTGGACAGCCTGAGCCACATGAGACCTTGACTCAAACAGAGACAAAGAAAGGAGTTGCCCAGTTTCATAATCTGCACCCATCTCGTGCCTTCTGAGACCGCTAGATGGGCTGCGCATGACTGTGGGTAGGGTGCCTGTTAGCTGCTGCTTATGAGAATAGAAAAGTCTTGAATCAGTTGAATTTGGGGTAGCATGCCTTGTCAGCAAGAAGGTCTACGAAGCAGAAACGAGGAAGTATCTGTCCAGTTCCCAAAAGGAGCCTGGAACTGAGGCCTGGAGTCTGGGTGGGGCTTGTACCAAGATCTGACACCCTTGGCTTGAGGCACCCAAGACGCTTGCTCCCTCAGCACACGCTTCCCGGTGACACAGCAGAGGCGAACACTGTCCTGTCCGAAACAAAGATGTTTTAAAGGGAGACTCCTGTGCTTGTGGGGTGGCGCACGCCTCTAAGGCCCTGTGCTCTCAAGGCAGAGGTAGGCTGTTCTCTGTGAGATCTCCTCAGTGAGTTCTAGCTAGTCAGGGCTGCCTTGTTAGATCCTGTCTCTAAAACAGGCAGAAGGGTTGGAAAGAGTCTGATGCCTTTTACCCTCCGGCTGTCAGCCATGGACCCCAGGGGATTGGAATTCCCCAGGAAGTCCGGGCTAGGGAAGGGAAGGCTGCTGCCACGCACCAGAGAGAGTAGAGACTTGTCTCCAGGAAGAGACTTTTGCACAATCCTGGAAGCTTGTTAGACCGCCTCGCAGGAGAGACTGAAGCTCAGATAACAGTGGACCAGTGCTAGGAGGGGCCACACCTTGACCAGGCCTGCTTAGCTATACATCCCTGTTGCCCTCTGTTCATGCCTGGACTTCACGTCAGGACCCTGGGCTGGACTTGGGGGGGGTGGTCACTGGACATGTTTATTTGCTCTTGTTTCTTTCATACCCCCCCCACTTGATTAACTGGCCACTTGAGGACCAGTGGCAGAGTCGGGCTTGGCAGCTTGCCAGGGTCCAGGCTGTGACCCTCATAACTATAGAAACAGCGGGAGTATCCGTGTAATGGAGTCCCATGGTGGACAGGGATGGCAGGGTGGGGTCCCAGGTGTTAGAGCCAGAGGCAGCGAGGACACTCGTGGTGGCCTTCCAGACAGCACAGAACTCTTTTCCTTGACACTCTCTGCCCTTTCTCCAGATGGTCCGACAGGTTGAGCCTCTGCCTCCTAGTCACAACCCTGGACAGACTTAGGAGAAAGGTAAGGTATAAAAAAGAGGGAGCCCCTGTCTCCCCACCCCACCACTTTCTTCTCGTAAGACCCAGGCACCCGTCCCTAAAGTTGCCGAGTGGACGCATGCTTATTGGTGAATCAAGGAGCACTAATGTCATTGGTTGGTCAACAAGGGCTGTCCCACAGCTCTCCCACTCAGCTTGGTCTTTACACACATTCCCTCCTCTGCCCAGAACACTCCTCTTTAAGACATCACACCTGAGCAAGGGGTACAGATAATGGGAGAGGGCCTGCCTATCTTAGACGCACATGTGTGCAAGTCCTGAGGTTCGATTGCCAGCATCACAAATAAAAAGAAACAGAGGGCTGAAGAGATGGTTCTGTTGGCAAAAGGCTTGCTTTGGGAGCACAGGGACATGAGTTCAACACCCAGAACCCCCATAAAGAAAACTAGGCACTATGACATGCTTGTAATCCCAGTGTTAGGGAGGCAGAGACAGGTATCCAGCCTAGCCTGCTTGGTGAGTTCCAGGACTGTGAAAGAGCTTGGCTCAACCCATATACTATTTACACAGACAAACAGAAGAGAGACAGGGAGGGAGGGAGGGAGGGAGAGAGGGAAGGAGAGAGGGAGGGAGGGAGCCAGTAAGATGGCTTATAGGCTCAGATACTGGCTGCCAAGACTCAGGAATTTCCAGACCCACACGGTGGAAGGAGAGACCCAACTCCTACAACGTGTCCTCTGTTCTGGCTAAAGCAAGTGTGCACACATGCACAGGTGCACATGTTCATATATGTACACATGCACACACTAAATAAACAAACAAATAAAATGTAAGAGAAAGGAAGGGAGAGAAAACGAAATAAAAGCTTTTTTTATCTAACATGCCACTCCTCCCCTTGATTTCTGGGCTCAGGTACACCCTGAGAAAGGACAAGGCCACCTCGTCCACAACAGCTCTCCGGAGTCCCTTTCCCATCCCTGGTCATACTCCCTCTTCCTTACAGTGTCAGCTCGCTCTGTCCACAAACAAATGTACACACAAGTACGTGCATCAGGACACCCGTCCCTTAAGAGAGGACACAGGCACGATTAAACCGAGCAAGGGAGGTTGGTTTTAAAGTTCAAAAGGGGATCTGGGGAAAAGCAGAACCCTGAAACAAAAAAGGCAGACTGGCCATTTCAAAGTTTCTCTTCCTTGTAAGGTGGGAACAGTAGAGAAACACCGGTACCAATTTAGCATCAGATTACTCCAGGCAAAAGGATTAATGCCTGGAGAAGCCTCATTATCTGGCCTGTTTTGGGATTTGGGTTGTTTCTTTAATCCTTATTTCTCAGAATGCAGATAACAGGTTCATTGCAGGCAGGTGACCTGCAACTTGGGCAATTAATTAATTAAGGCTGGGAGATGCCTCAGTCAGTAGGGTCTGAGCCAAAGCCTTATTGTAGATCTGAGTTTGTTTTTGTAATCCCAAGAGCTGACAGGAAATGGGATCCTGGGGCTTGCTGGCTACTCAGTCTAACCTACTCAGTGATCTTCAGGCCAGTGAAAGATTCTTAAAAATAAATAAATAAATAAATAAATAAATAAATAAATAAATAAAGAAGACAGGGTGGGGGTAGGGGGTGGCACATGGCCAGATGGCTCAGTGGATAAAGCATTTGCTTGCAAGTCTGAGTTCAATTCCCAGAACCCATGTGAAGGAGAGAACAGTGTCTTTGAAGTTGCTCATATGCACATTGTTGTATGAACACATCACACACTCTCTCTCTCTCTCTCTCTTCCTGAACTATAGAAATGACCCTTGAAAGTATCTTTTTCCCTTTCATTTCTCTTCCTGTCCCTGCCTCTCCGGTCCTACTGGCTGGTTACGTCCACTTGATACAAGCTAGAGTCATCAGAGAGGTGGGAGCCTCAGTTGAGAAATTGCCCCTATAAGATCCAGCTGTAGCAAGCCTGTAGGGTATTTTCTTAATTAGTGGTTGGTGTGAGAGGGTCCAAGGCCGTGGTGGGTGGGGCCATCCTGGGCTGGTGATCCTGGGTTCTATTAGAAAATAGGTTGAGCTAGTCAGGGAGAACAAGGCA